TCAAATTCTTCATTGGCACTTGGTTTAAATGCAGAACCATTTGGTGAGGTACAAGGCATATCATAATCACTTATAATCTTATTATGTGTTAGCTGGTCATATCCTTTCGATAAAATTATCGGTGAACGTGGTTTTAAGTAAACGGTCTTTTTATATGAGGTATTATGTGATTTTTGATCCTGTCTCTTATAATTATTTATGTCAGATGTTTGATTAGTTGCTACAACATCAGCATATGGTTTTGATATTGGTGGGTGGAGTTTGCTAGCTTCCATGTAAGAGATACTGCTTTGGGACATAGTCAATTTAATGTCTTTTTGACGTTGGAATTCCGGACAAATTTTATTCGTAGCGTAATGAAACCCTGAACACATTATACACAGTGCACAACTTTCCTCTACTGAACAGTTTTCACTTCTATGATCCTGAGCACATTTGAAACATCTCGGAGGTGACCGACAAACAAGTTTTGTGTGTCCATATCGACAACAATTAAAGCATTGGATTGTTGGGTAGGTATAGAGTTCAACTGGTAGTGCATTGTAACAAATGTATACTCTTTTAGGAAGAACTTGTCCATCGAAGGTAAATACGACAGACTGAGTTGGTTTCCAAATTACTGACCCATCAACGTGAACTTTATAATTAATTCTCCGTAATTTTATAATTTCTCCACAACCCATTGGAATAGAGACATTGCTTTTAATTTCTTCTGGTGTCCAGTCGGCTGGTACACCACGTACAATACCAAGTTTAGTAACATTAAATATGGGAATAAATGCACGAAGTTTAAAATCGATCAAATTTTTATTATTTAAAAAGTCATTGGCATCTTTAATTGTGGAAAACGATACAGTACATCTATTACGACCTATCCTTTTAACACTTCCTGTCACAATATTTTGAAAATTATTTTTCTTTAAAAAGTTGCCAAAAGTAATAGGATGAAGTGTGGAGCCATCACCCGGAGAGTCTTGAATTCTTTGTACATGAACAATATACGGGGATAAATCTGTAGAAATATAATGTTTACGACCTACCTCTGTACGTGGGAATAAAGTAGAATCAGCTTTTGAGTCATCTCTCTGTTTGTTATTGCTAATTATGGGAGTTATTGGTTCTTTAAATTCTACATTTTTATCTAATAAAGTACATTGACAATCTATTTCGCTAGAAGTACCTGTACCTATATGTGAGCTTCTCTTTCTCTTTTTATTACAATTTTTACAACGCTTATGGTATCTGGACCTTTTACGCGTCCAACCATCCGCACTGCTTATAGAGGCGTCAGTGTCCATTTCGTTATTAGAATTATTATTTACAGTTACATTATATCCAACAGGGGGACCCAGGTCAGGACCTAAGTCCCCCGCGGTTAGATCCGGTGGTTTATTCATAAAAATGTATCCATACAATATATATTATAAAAACTTACCGAAAATATACAGGATAAATATACAAAAATACAATTACAATACACTAATTATAGAAATATAACACTACACAACTTATCTGATTCGTTCAAATTTACAAAACAAAATTTTTAAAATTTTGCAAGAAAAATTTCGTCCGCCTCGTTTAAAGTTTCCCGCGCTTTTTTTTCATCTGTAATACTTCAACTCTTTATGTCATACCCTTTATGTCTCCCTACTATACACTGTAGTCTTTGTGTCATACTGTGTGAACCACAGACTTAGTAGGTATTGTGTGAACTGTGACTGTGAGGCCGTTAACATCACAGATTAATAATGAGGAAGTTTTTAAAAAACGAAAGCACTAAAAAAGCACCTCCACTAAATGGCGACTAGCAAAAGTTGATTTTTGTAGACGTCATTTCCGTTCTTTTTAACTAACATAATAAAAAACTGAAATTTGAAAATTCGGAACTTAGATATCAATACAAATATCAAAAAAAATTACAAATAGAATATGAATTGTTTATTGAGTTTTGAAAACTAATTTACTTTTAAACTAGAAAGAAAACTGGAAAGGTTGCTGTGGAGAAATCAAGAACGTACTGTAGCGACATCTAGTTTGATATCGGGAATAAATTTTTTTTAATACTCCCTCATAATTATGTAGCTATTTAACATATATATATAACGACATTTCCGTTGGATGGCGTAAGGGCGCTTGTGCACTACACTGAATTTTCAGGACCGGCGGTCCGATTTTTTCCGGTCCGGAATGACATGAAAATCTCGGATTAGTAGCTTGTGCACTTGTCCGTTTTTTTCCTGATCGGAGCGGCGCAGTGTAGGGCAGCTCTCTTTGAAGCTACACGTCACTTATGCTAGGTACGATGAGATTTTTGGAACGTTGGTAATTCCGTTCGAAGACGTAGAAAGATACCTAAATAATGATCTGATCGTTTTACATAAACCATAATAAATTATGGCAAGACGAAAGCATTTTTTTTACTACTATCGGATGACTACTATCAGATGTAAAAACTTATACCCTTACTAATTTAGGAACAGCATTATTCACATACAATAGCTAAAAATATCTGACATTAGAATAAAATTACTGTACTCTAGTACTTGATGTTTAAATTTTTAAATGTGCTATTTTTTTTCGAAGTTTTGTAAAAACAACTTTCAGCGATTACAGAGATAGACCAATCAGTGGCGCCATTTCGTAAACAAATCAAAATTGATGCCGTGTTAGCGGAGAATTATTATGCTAAATGAACTTTACGAGATCAGTTGACTGTATTATATATAGGCATAATTTTATACGCGTGGTGTAGTTTCTTTGAGCAGAAATATTATTCCCTTAGAATACTTTTTTTTTTAATTATTAATGGCACAAAAATACATTTAAAATTTTATTAAATGCGAAAAAGACATTGAGTGTCACTTAATTACTTTTGTTAATCTTCTGTTTATTCTTTATTATTACTTCTGTTGTCAAATATTTATCTATACTTATCAATTGTTTAAAAAAAAATTGATAATGACAAATTTCCAGGCAAACTTTCATCCCCTTTTTCGCAATAAAATGTAGCCTAAATTAATATAGCAAATAGACTTAACTTTAAGAAAGGTCTTAAAGTTAAGTCGATTTACTATATTAATTTCCATTTAGATGGGTTCAGTTGTCTAAACGTAACAACACTTATTTATCTTACTTAAGCTATCGAAACTTTTAATACGATTCTAAAATCTAGCTAAGTATCGATACTAGAACCATATGCTGATCAAATTAGAACTATACCGAGTTTTCCAAAGCATATGCAGTGATATATACCAACTATATTAAATCATCATATAAAATATAGCATTTTATAATTAACAATAAATATCGATTATAAGTTTATTGGAAATTAACAATATTGCCGAAATAAATATCGATTATTTTTTCCCAAGCCTATTGCCGAAATAAATATCGATTCAAATCGATTATTTTTTCCCAAGCCTATTCCTTATGAATTTTCCGGATCTCGGACACAGCAGTGCACAAGCGTAAACACGTTTTTCATTGCCGCCATCACGGACCTGAAAAAACCGGTCCGGAATAGAGAAAAGTAAAATTCCGGACGGTAAAATTCCTGACAGTGCACAAGCGCGCATTACCTACATATGGCCTGACATATCGGACCTGAAAAAATCGGACCGCCGGACATGAAAATTCAGTGTAGTGCACAAGCGCCCTAAGTGTGTCAATGTGTGGCAGTTTTGAAAACTAATTTACTTTTAAACATGAAAGAAAACCGGAAGGGTTGTGTCATGGAAAAATCAAGAACGTACGTCGTTTGATTTCGGGAACTAATGTTTTTTTTTTAATACTTCCTCATTGTACTTGGTGCGGAAAAGTCTTGCTTGAAACTATGGAAATGCGTTGAAAAGAACACTACATAGACAGTTTGATAGAAAAATATAAAGAATAAAATATGATTGTTGAATCGTGATTAATGCTAGTGATGAAATAAACCTATAATTTTTTTATCTTCATTTTAAATTTCCTAGTGGAAAATTTATGTAGTTATTATGTTATACCAATATAATACGTTGACATGACTTACATCGCATTGACACGATCGCGCTATTTAACGGAAACCCCGTTAAGCCTACATCTGTCACGTTCTTACAAAGTATAAAACAAATTAGAGAAATGGCCCCATAGAGAAGATTGAGTAAAGGGTAGTAAGCCCTCTTTTCCCCAACAGGTATATACTTTTACTCTTTGAATGGTAGCTTCTTACTTCTTATATACCATAGAGGAATAATAATAGGTTGGGGTATAGTATATATAGTGACCTATAGTTTGTTCATATGTGATGCTATGTTGTAGCCTTGCGCAATGTATATCACTTACGCGAAAAGAGTGATATATATCTTTTAGCTCGAAGATCTATATCTATCTTTTATATCTCGCTCAGTTCGAAAGAAAATATATAGTATAGTAGTCATCCATAGATAAAACTTTTGGGATTTTCAATAAATGAACTATTGCATGCTGTTTCTTTTATACTCTAATACACCAGTAATAAAATAAAAAATAATCCTTCGAATTGAATCTGTACATATAACTTTCAATGCATCATTATAATTTTACACTTTGACTGTTTCTTGCGCTTTTTTTTTTAATTCTTATTAACACAGAAGTCACGTGCTGATTGGTGTTTCGTTTGATTAGAAACACAGGTTACATATCTAGAAAAACTACACATTTTACTTCTTGATTTAAAAATATAATTCATTATTATTTGACAAAAATATTCGTCAAATAATGTCTTTAAATTTCATGAACTTTTTACCATTCTATTTTTTATTATTTATCGGATTGTTGTACAATTCTGCCAATGTCAAGTAAATAAATTCATTTTTACATGTAAAATGAAAATGAAATGAATGAAAGATGGCGATGACCCGCATGTACTCAACGTTTAGTTTGTGCCAAATCCCTAGATCGCTCTGAAGTTGTTTCGAGCACAGGTGCGGTAACAAAGTAAACATTATCTTTATGTGATACGAAACAACGTCAGAGCGAAATAGAAGTTTTGCAAGGACTATTTCATTCACTCGGAGTTAGTCTGAAACGAATCGTGTTACAAAGATATAAGGATATATTTCAAATATAGACGAGCGAAATGATATATTCGCTCACTTGAGACAAATGTAACATTTATATCACTCGCTCGCGAGCTACTCAAGTCTAGTTTGTAGAGTGTTTGTTAGTGTTTGGTTTTTACAAAATAATTTGTTGCTTTTACCGGTGTTGTATTATTTCCTTTTTTAAGATTTAAGTACATAGCGTTACTTTATTCTCTCTGCTTACATATAATACAAATTTATGTTTTGTGACAGAGTTATTTGTGTATGAACATTTTCAAGTTATAATACTAATATAAAAGTATTTAATACCCCTTGTTAAATAACTAGTTCTCTTATTGGTCTGTGGTTAAATTCGAAATGGAATATGATAACGATGAGAATACATGGCGTCGACCCTCAGAACCTAAAGTACAGCGGTCTAAATGCCATCAGATACCCAAACGGTCTACTACTTTAGCTGTGGTGGTCCTAGGTCTAGCTGTTCTCAGCTGTCTTCTTGGATATTGTGTGCTGAGTGAAACATTACCCTATGAGTCTAAAACTCTACGCCTTGTTATAATTGTGAGTATTCCTTTAAATTAATGAAACCCATCAATAGCTAGATTGTTACTTTGTTAATTGTAATTCTGCATCTTAGGTCACCATGCATTTCAGATTTTAATATTGTTTACAGTTCTTCAGACATGGAGCTAGAAATCCCACACACAGTTACAAAAGTGACCCCTTCAAAAATTATCAATGGCCTGATGGTTTTGGAAGTCTTACCAATGTATGTAGTTGCCTTAGTTACTGAGTAATTGCTTATGATAAAATACTGTTGAGCCGAATTATTAAAAATTTGTATTAACTACATAAAAATGAATTTTACTCTCTGGAATTTACAATATCAGAGGTATGAATGTTTACTTTTCAGCTTGGTAAGCTTCAACTTTATGAACTTGGTAAAAAATATAGAAGTTACTATGCCAATTTTATCAATGAAGAATACTATGAAAAAGATATATATGTCCGTAGCAGTGATAAGTCACGGTGTATGATGAGTGCTTACACTTTCCTTGCTGGACTATTCCCACCAACGGAGAGACAAATGTGGCATCCTGAGATACCATGGCAGCCAATACCTGTACATTCATTGCCTAGGGAATTAGACAATGTAAGTTTTTATAAAACAGCATTATTTCTTTTTACATGTGCACGGGCATGGTATACACAGCAAGCCTTATGCCCACTATTGAGTTTCAGAGATAGTAAATGTTAGTAACAATAAAACTATAATTTAATAATATAATTAAAGAGACAACAAAACACTTAAGAGCTAATATGCAACTGCATCCAGCATATGAATATGAGATAGGACTCCTGATATCTCTGAAATAAAGATTATTATTAGTGGGGCTTAGTTCCATTTTCATTTTATTATAAGATTTATAATGAAATGGCATTGCTAGCTCACAATGTGAATATATTTCTAGAACATTGAAAATGCCATGAATATATCTGAGAGATTGGGCTGAGACCAGGCTATAATGTTGAAAATTATTAGAACTGTCTGGATGTTGGTCAAGTTTATGTCGGTTCCAATAAATATGCAGTGAGCTGCCCATCCCGGCATTCACTGATTCAGTGATTGGTGAACTGATGAGAGTAATATCAAGAGATATTCCTAGCTCGTAATAATATCAATAATCTAACACTAGTTTAAACAAATTGTAACCATTGATATACTGAATTGTAATGTTTGTGAAGGTAAATCATTATCTTCTGTTCACAATTTTCTTTTAAAAACTAGGTCTTGTTATTCCTAGATTGTAGCTGGAACAAAACCATGTAAAATCTGGAAAGCAATGTATGAAGAGTTGCTAGCGGAAAAAAATTCAGATCCAAAATTCACTGAACTATTTGATTATTTGAGCAAACATACAAACCAGAGTATGCATAGTGTTCTTGATGTTGACTTTTTGTATAGTACACTGCTAACAGAGCAAGAGGCAGGTCTAAAGCTACCGGAATGGACGAAGAATGTATTTCCCAATAAAATGCGCATGCCATTTATGCTAAGTCTAGCTTTGCTGTCTTATAATGAAACACTACAACGTTTCAAAGTAGGTAAGTCACTTAAACATATTATGCGCACCCAACAGTATAATCATTGCAAAAAAGTCAAAACACATTTGTGGAAATCATGCAAAAGATAAACATACTAGGTTAAAAGATAAACGTACTAGGATTTATAAGTAAAAATTCTTTGATTAGCAAGTAAAATTATATTTAAGTCAACATGCAGTATCAGAGGTCAAAGCTTTGCTAATTGTCATGAAACACTGCAATATTGATAAGTCTCCACAGAGTATACTACTTGAAAGAGACAGCAAAATGTAAGTTTAAATTATTATAACATTTTTTAAAGGTCCACTTCTGAAAGAAATTAAGTCATCTTTCGAAGAGTCTGTGAGGCATGCAAATGAGGAGCACTCACTAATGCTATATTCGGGACATGACATAAATGTGGTGGGGCTGTGGCGCACCCTTGGATACACAGAGTTGCTAGAGCCAGAATACGGGGCTAGTGTGGTCTTGGAACTGCATGAAGATGTTGAACAGTCCACCTACTTTGTTAAGGTAAAATATCAAATGATATTGAGATTTCTTTTGGCACATAACTGACAACTCAAGCTCGCATTTTGTACAATATATAATCTATAGTAATATTATCAACAGGAAATTTTTGGAATTTCGTTTTTTGCATTGAATAGGCTCTGAAATGACTACATTTATTTTAAAAACTTTTACCTACAGATAACTACATTATACGCGGACTTACATTAGTCGCGGTAGAACAACCAGTAACTTAATAACTAGGTGGTTAAGAGCCATATTACATTTCAACAGTGATTTTTGCGTAAAATGGTAAAGGAGAATGGGCAGAAGTCGGCTAAAATTACGCAAATTGCCCACTATGCATTTATTTATCAAAATTATGCGGCGTTTAAAATAAACCGTATTGAAACAGTTGCTTAACTGACTAATTAAGACTCATGATATGTCCTTGGATAAATGTCAACCACGCAACAATAGACTCGATAAGGCTGATCGCCTTATCGATTATAGAAAACTAAAAGGATTAATCTACGTGTCGAAAAAAAAAATCTAAGATACGACTTCCTTCACGTAGTAGCTTCTTAGTCTGTGCTTCTTTCGGTTTTCTTTTGAGCATGAACAAAGGTATGTTCGCTATTTCATAGTAAATGATAGGAGGCATATTAATGCAATCGGGCGGGTGGCGCGTCTGAATATGACGGGTACAGACTGAACCAACGCTCGGCGAAGTTAACGTTCGTCACTAATCCCAAAGAATAGGTTTCGTTTATTCGTATAGGCATAAGGATAAGTTATCACGGAGAAAGAAACATGCGTGTTTAAGCGGTGTTATAGATAAATATAACAAGATTCCATTAAATAAATACCTAAATATCTTAAATTAAGATTGCTAGTGACATTCGTTATATTTTCTTTTGCGGCGAATATATACCTACCTACTACAATATAACTACGACTACCTACTGAGTTTCAAGTTATTAATCGACTTGACATGTGAACTTCCTACCACTACTTTTACAAAATGAAGTATTTTAACTCTGATAATGTTGGTCAGGTATTATATTAGCCAAAGACTAGTTTTTAATCGGCCCAGTTGTTTTTGAGTTTATACTTTACAATAAAAAATCCAATATTTCCTTTTTATAATACAGGTAAAGATATGTTCTTTTTCGCAATTAAATATTTATATCTGTCAGTCATCGATTGTTTGAAACACATTATTCATTTTATTGCTCTTATATACGTAGATATTATAACGACATAACCGCAAAATCTCTGTTAAATATTCAGATATTCTTAAACTCCGGCATAATTTCAAAATGTTTTTTTTTCCTACTCATTCTAGAAATAATTCTCTATTGTTTACCGTTGGTTTCAACAATGTGCACGTTTACACAAAAATAGCCGATGTCTCATAGTAAATTGCTCATTCTTCTTTTGGCGGTCTCGATCTCTGAAACACAAAGTATGAAATTGCCGAATTGTACTGAAAATCAAACTTGTTTATTTTTAATTTTTAACAAATTTGTTTAATCAAAATAGTTACCGTTATTATCTTTACTTTGCTGCCATCTAATAGGAAAGTCATTTATGCCTACAGACTGCACAAAAATGTGAAAGCATTTTGTACTGCCTGCTGTGTAGAAAACTTCTTGTCACGTAGAAAATTGACCAAATCACGAAAAAAATGGTAGTCCGTTGGAGCAAGGTCTGGCGAATACGGACGATGACGAATGGTTTCTAACTGCAGTTCCTGAAGGGTCAAAACAGTTTCTCATGCTGTTAAAGAAACTCAATCCTAATGAGAAAAAAGTACTTAACGATCGTTTTTCTGCATATTATTTAAGACTATTGCAAAAATATTCAGTCATTAAATTTAAAGATTTAAATTTTGTGTGTCGAAATATTTAACAGTATAATAATACAAATTCATGAACATTTTATTTTATTTGAATAAATACATTTTGACTATCAAATTTCGGCCAACCTTAATTTTTCAAAACGCTCAACAGATCACACGAAGTTGATATTGAAAATTTTTCAATTTTTCACCTCATGAAATAATTAATAAACGTTGTATTATACTTTCTATATGGTCTTTGAATTTCTGACGATTGAAGTTCTGACGTTATTGCTCGCTCGGGGCTCTAATCGGCATACGATTCTATAATACTATGGTATTGTGAACTTGTGACCGTAGACACGTAGTTTGTAATAGTGCTCTTAACAAAATCGAAATTTTTGGAATTCATTTAAATCGATTTTGATGTTAAACAGTGTGCGACGTTCAATCAGTTACGCGTTTCGAATAAATTTTATTAGTTTAATAGATCTTCAGAGGTTAGATTTTATTACCTTACAAGCAAATCTAACACACGTTCGGGTTGACAGGTAGAGAATGTCTTTGACATTAAGTCGGCCTTTTGTGTTTTGTTATAAGCAATAAGGAGTAAATAAACAAGTAAATAGAATGCGCCGCTCCCCGCCGCTTAAATAAAAATGCGTCCGCTCTAAACCTTTAACGTCGTCCAATTAATTGAAAAGTTTGAACTACATTAAAAAAATATGCAGTAGACTAGGGTTACCTACCGTAGTCGGAAACCCTGGTTTTTCCCCCTGTGTTAAAAAAGGGTTGCCTACCGTCTTGTTTTGCAAGAACATATCTTGGTTTTGTGGCAACGTCTTGTGTTTTTAAATACCCCTATAAGAAATTCATGCGCCGCTTTCGCAAACCTCACGTTAATGTTAGCTGCACTGCGTGATAGGACCGTGCTGATTTATTTGATTACTTCAAAAAAATAGTTGTAAACTGAAGTATTGTTCTTTTTTGTCCTGGTTTAAATTTGGTTATGACAACCCTTCAGTAAACTAAGATAAATATAGACAATCATGTCATTAATTTTATTCCCCTTTGATTTACAGGTTTTCTATCGAAATAATACAAAAGTTGAAGTGCCAATGGAAATAAAGCTGCCATTCTGTGATGATCCATGTCCATACGACATGTTTGTAAAATATATTGACTCATTTATTCCTGAAGACTGGGAGCGTGAATGTCAAAACACAGACGATTGAAGGCCAAGTTATGCTAATTTGAAAAGAAATGAAAAATTCTTGTTTGACATAGTAATGTATAGGTAATGGAGATGTGCGAAAAGTATGGACATTATCCGATACCCTGAAATCTATGAATTAGGTCGCATCACGGGTACCCGGTTACCGAAAGGTCCGGGCTAAATATGTGTATCAATAATACTTACCAATTTTGTTTTCACAATATCCGGGCTATTTTCGGATACTGCGCCCAATGTCTATAAACCATACATCAGAGATATGAGATACATCAGTGTGATGTAGGTAATCCCGCAATTCATTAATTCGCACGACAAAATTCGTCTTTAGACCTTTCCTAAATTTTATCTCTTAGGATATTCCAGTCTTCTATCAGCTGATTGACTGCCTAAATGTCTTTCTATTACTAGCTGAAGCTATTATTAATTACTTTTATTAATTTTATCAATGCAATACGTTTATATTCTTTTAAAATATTCTACATCATAATTACATATTTAATTGATTGTTTTGGTTGTTTTATATTTGTCTATATTAAGTTTGACTGAATTAAATTATTATTTAAAAAAAAGACGTTTTTCGACAAAACAGAAATGTTTGAAAAATATAAAAGTAGTGAGAATCATATTTTTATTTAAGAAAATTAACGTATGTTTTGATAAAATCAATAAAACGTTTTATACCTATCGCTAGAGCCATCGTAAGGCGGTCGCTCCCCTGTGCCTTCCTTAGAGGCGTGAAGGCCGCCGATTGGACTGGTTAAACGTTTATACTTATGGTACACGTAACGTTACGGTGCACATGGCTGCACGTCAGGCTACCACAATATGTCAAATTGATTCTGACCTCTACATACAATACGTTAAGGTTCAAAATCAAGTGGAGAAATTTTACCGTTTTGTATAGCATGATGTGCTGTTGACTGTACCTACCTAACATTCCATATTTTTTTAATATTTAACTCATGTAAGGAAAGTGTATGTTATTTTTAGACACGCTATTTTTCTAATAAAGGATAGCTTATGCATAAAAATATAGATCGGCAATAAAATTACATTTATACTGTCATGAGGTATAAAATGCAGCTCCTAAATTTATACTCATGAGATGCCTGATATAAATCGAATGAAAGTTGATGTTCAAAAACAATTGGACGAGATATAATACTTTGTTTATTAGTACCTACACACAACAGCCCATCAGATTATTACAAAATCGTATTTAACAAAACTTTCATCAATATTTAACAAAACTTTCATCAGATTTTGGCTTGTGATGGATCGGAGAAATATGTTATCTTTTCTAGTATCTAGACGTACTGTCAACTGTACTTAAAGTCACCATAAATATTGAAAAATGTATGTTGTCTTTTATAGTTATCATCTATAACTGGAACGTCAACTTATTTGGATTGTATGATTGTGTTCATTTTTGGTAGATAAACTTTATTTATATTAATAATTTAAATAATATCGTCGACATTTTAAAATTAAACGCGTTTTCTTAACGAAACTTGAGACTATGATCAGATTCTTTGTGTATAACTAAAAAAGTAATAATTTAATAATCAAACTGTACATTTACAGAAATGTGACGTCAATATTCAAATATCTAAAGAAAGTACTAAATGTTAATTTACTTTTCCTGTAGCTTTGAGTATAATACGATATTAATAACGTGTTTTATATGAATTTCGTGTTAAATTTTAAAGTGCCGAAGTTTTCTGTCGAATATTATAATAGTGAACTTATGTATATAATTATAGATAGGTGCGTGTCGCAGCTTATGTAATTGTGATAATAAATTAACGTAAATAAATATATATTAAGTTTTATTGTTGTGAAAAATGTACTCAGCTATAAATGTTAAAAGTACATAGTGTTATCTTAATTATTGTCACTAACTTTAGCGACATCTCTATTTATTCTACAGAAACTGCTCATGACAAAAGTAATTAAAATTATGCAAGTACAAGTCTTGTACTGCATTATGAAAAAATGCATGTCAACTTCATATATAGAATTATTTTCCTTATACTGTTTAGATAAGAGTATGGTCATGGTTGTAACACAAAAATGAAAGTCGTAAAAAAAGAGAGCATCGCGCTTGCATTAATTCAAATGTTATAATAATTTTTTAGTATTACCGACCTTTAAATTGCGTCGCGACAAGGGGATCAACCGACCCATTTACAGTTAATTTTAATGCTATGCTACTACCATAAAAAAGTATTCATATGAAAACAGAAAAGACCCTCTCAGTGCCGATAGCGATGCCATACCGGACATACCTACATCTACCCGCACCGATCACATATCGTCGTTTATTTTTCTTGTTTTTATTAAATTGTAATATCAAACGTATTCGTTAAAATTATCAACTCGCACCGCATCTTTAACTTATAAGCAGAATCGCTTTTAACAATCTTTTTCTTGTCGACGGTAATAATTATCATGCCTTTTACGTCATTTCGTAACTATAGTCGACGGCCAATAATACGGCTAATACATACCTAATTATTACATATACATAATATGTAAAATGTATGTATTTTAATGTTAATTAATTATATCAGAGTTTATTTTTGTTACTGACTGAAAATAAAATAGTTTTTTACCAATGTTACCATTAACCAAACATTTGTATCAATTTTACGTCATGCTGGATTATTGTAATGTAAAGCTTCCATAATGTTCTTTATGAAATTCCATAATGTTGTTATTTTGTATTCTGGTTATTAAAATAAATATATTTTATGTGCAAAATAGTTTTGTTAATTGCAGACTTCTGGTTACGAAATGCGATGAGATGTCGAATCATAACCATGATTTGATTTGTGGAGTTGGAAATGCTTTTCCCGATTCTTGAGCAAAGGCACATGAGAAAAGAAGTACAGAGCCTTATTTTCTGAAGAGCGTTCAAAATAAATAGGGTATCTGGTAGGGTTGGCGCAGAAGGAAATAATGAAACAAAGTGGTATTTTTTTATTATATCCATAAGTATAATGAAATGCTCACTATAAAGAAACGTCCCAAGTAGCACAAAAAGCTGAATAAAGGGTGAATAATGGCATTTTCAGATGCTTTAAGCAGCATAAACTTGCCATAAAAAAGAATTTTAAGCGCTTAAAATTCCATTACAATGCTGATTTGGGCACAAATCTTAGTGCCTTAGGCTTACGCGGGTGCCAAAAGGCATTAAAATAGCATTGTAATGGAATCAATAAGGTACACAGTGACGATTATAGCCGTATAGTAGTACCTACTAAAAAGGCACCGTAATGGAATTTTAGCATTCTTTAGCCCCTAAAAAAGTCCAACTTTTACCCATTACAATTCTTAAAGCGCAATAGTGTCGTATATGCGGTGTATTTTATAAAGTTCGTATTTTTTTTACATTCAAAACATTTGTGTGATGTGCAGCAGCAGTGACTGTGATAAAACAGAGGTGCGACGCCATTAACTATAAGTATTATTAAATTTGTTAATATTGTATTGGGTGTTAGATGGTTAATACGTGAAATAGTCTTGCGGAGGCAAGTTTACTGTTAATGTCCATATACATTTCTATTGAATTTTTTTATGCGCCTCGAATATGATGAGTATTTAGTTAAATATTATATAGAAAAAGTGCCTATGAAAAATTAAATATTTATGTGTTTGGTTGTTATGTCCACAGTTTTATATTTAAGAGACGTATATATTTTAGAATTGTAAATTGAGCAATAAGTAATAGCTTACATCTATAGTTTACTTATAATATTTACATGAAATATCGTGTTAGGTTAGGTTTGAACGATTTAATGGCGGAGTATTTAAGCAGAATTGTAGTACGTTATAGTTCCACTACAATTCTTTTGGCTATGAAATGAACCTTTAAAATTCCTTTTTTCCTTTTCCAGTCCTAGCTTTCGTTTTCCACGATTTTACCTTTTTTTTTCGTAGACGATAGCATTTTGTTGTTTTCAACCACACACGCATACAACGGCGTATTAATTCTATTAAAATTCTTTTACTCTTCAGGACGCTCTAAATTGCCTTCTTTTATTGCCTTAAGAATTATAAAAGAATGACAGTCACCCATTTAAAATGCCAGAATAAAAATGGTGTAACCCATCCATTCTACAGAACCTTTGCCATTTTCTACCTCTCTTTAAGTTCTTTTATAGAACTCAAGGAATTTAAAGTAGCCTAAAGCAGAATAACAGCATTAAAATTGATCCATTACTGTCCCATACACTGACTTTATTCGACTTTAAACATTAAAATGGTTATTCTTACATCTTTTAAAATTCAGCATCAAAATGGTATGACGAGTGTCTGTTATAGAACCATTGGCATTTTGCGCCTACTCTTACAATTCTTTTACGTTACCTTAGGTATAAAAGTATGCTTTAAGCAGTATAATGGCATTACAATCAGACAGAATTACACTAAATGCATTAAAAAGGCATTTGTTTTCTCCATTATTCAGCTTTTACGCAACCTTTAGCATACGAAGTTAAAATGAATTCAATTTTACGGCTTTAGGATGTTGGGGAAACCTCTATAAATCTTTTTTAATGCCTATTGCCATAATGAGGTCCACGTATGGATAATTATAATTCCTTCTGTGCTAATTGGGGTGTTTTACAAATGACTTACTTTAAATATTTTCTTTTTATAATTTTTGTTTTTCAATAATTTGTAGTGCCGTTTAATTGAATCATAAAGCTTTTTGAAATAGTCTAATGGAAAGTAATCTCAAGGCATATCAATTTTCATTTCTTGTATAGGTGCTATTTAAAATATCGTTACCAATGTTAATAATTTAATTTTATAAATCAATATATTCACGGAACTTATATTCGAGCAATTCAATAACTGAGATAAAATTTTCCAGAGTTATTGTTAAAAACCAACTCCACCGTAGTTCATGAAAACATATGACACATACTCGCGATATTCACGAAACGTTTGCGAGCGTGTATCGGTCTTCGCTTTCACTGGTGAACGCGTTCAAAACTCAAATTCGCAAATATGTTTCAGCCAGTGTGTCACTAGATGGCACTTTTTAATTTCCATACAATCTCTAAACGTGTTCGCTATCGAGCATGAAACGTAAACGCCAAATAAAACTCAAACTAAGCACTCGGTACTACGGTCGTAAATAAAAAGTAATAAATCATTGGCAAAATGGTAACCGTCGCCGTTCAGCTGATAGTCTACTTTCAGTAAAATTTTAATAACACATTTATTATGGCGCACATCAATTCACAGTAGGTACTTATCATATCGGAGTACTTTCTCTGAAATGGAGAACTGAATAATTTCGCAATGAGAAATTATTTAAAACAATGAAGCTTCAAAAATTTGTGTCACTAGATTGCAACACAAATTGTAGGATCTAAATGTCAATCCATGATGTTAGACCAAAGAGAATAGAATTGTCAGTGTTGTTCATTTGATAATTCAGATTATAAAAATAATAAACTGCTACTTGATTGCAAATACTGCTTTAATATGTTACAAACATACAAATATATAAATCATATAATGGACGGCACATTGTTACTTAGAAATAAAAAAATATATTATTACAAATATTGACTTACAAATTATATAAGAAATATGTCATTGTGATTGGTTCTATTAACCTACATATCATAAACAAATTAAAAATTGATTTTAAATTATCGGTGGATCCTTACAGCTACGGTGGCTCAACTATGCTGAAGTCTTATCAAATTTTGAAAGAGAACATTACATTTAAAGTCTCTTCTTTGTATCAATGTAACAGCAGTAAAAATTCCTTAAATCTGAACGTCAACATGGTTAATATAAACTCCATTTCTGAGACAGGAAACAACTCCTTTAAATCATTAAAATACTCAAGACAAATTATGCATAAAATTGAGCCCAAATTAGTACTATTGACATTTATCTGAACACTTATGTTTAGAATTCAGTCTTACTTTATACCTACACATATTTCGTTGTGCTTATATTTCACATTTTAAAGTTAAATTGCTTTTTAAAACATATTAGATAATTTCATTAAATGATGAAAATAGTACTATGGAAATATAAATTCAATGGTAAATAGTTTGGTCCCTTAATCATGAATAATAATGGTAATTGTGAAAAAATGTCTTACCAAATATAACAAAAATATCTACAATAGTTAACAACTTTACCAGCTATGCTAAAACCATTTTTCAATCTCACTGGTACTGGTGAAAGTATATGTCATAAATGAAGGATCAGTTACCACAACAAGTTAAGACATCCCTTTCCTTGTGTGCCCTTATTGCAGTGTACACAACAACAGCAATCCATAACATAACTGCTACCCATGATGAAATAAGAGCAAGCTGAAGAGACAATCCAGTATTGATGAAATCACCTCGGCGACTATTTGGTGCATCTTTCTGCAAATAGTCCATAAAGTCGAAAATACTTTGGCAACTCAATCGAAAGTGAATGACTGAAACATGATCCCCAGAAGCACGAAGTTCCTGAAACAAATGTTCATGTCAGTAACAATTAAAACCAGAATTTGCCATATGGCAATGTAAGTCAGTAATCTAAAGCTCATCAACAGAAATTGCTTCTAGCTTTATGTGAAATAGTGATTAAATTAGCAAAATGTATACAAAATAAAATGATAATCACTATTAAGCATTATACTGCAACATTTTAGGAATAATAGAGCCTTTAATTAGTTATTAAATAATAAACAAATATTACTAATGAAATTCATGTTCAAAGTAGATTATAGTTAGTAGTGTTTAATTAAAATCAATACCCACTCTTGCTACATAAGCCCTATATTGGCTACAAGTCCTCAAAAATCCATGTGTTATAATAGCTGCATGAATCATATTGTAAATGCAAAATATGGCAGCAAGGCATGAAGTTGGAACCCAACAATATATGACAGCATCATTATTGTTGCTTACCCTTGCTCTAGAAGTTGCTACTATAGCTTCACCTTCACTAAAATATATTTTAACTATTATTAACTATTCAAATTCTTAATCAAATTATTTCTGAAATTAGTAAAACAAGTTTGTTTACTTACATTTCCTCCATAGTTGTAGATTTTTCATCCTCAAACTTACCAATATTATTTATACATACTCTGTACATATGAAACAAAGCCATTATGATTGCATATGCAATAATTGGTAATGGTGCAAAAATTGCATAAAGACAGTATGATGAGTGACCACCATTAAAGTACTGTGAAGTACTAACACCAAAGAAAATACAAGCACAGTTATTGTTTTCCAGTCCTATACTTGGACAGACATCTAAGGTGGACTGCCAATGATTGTAAGGAATAGCAATACAAATAACAGATATGGTGAGCATTATGGCTAATAGGCCATAACACCAAGTGAGTCTCCTCTCAGAGACGTATTGATTCATTATGTATAGAATAAATACTGCCTATCTTATGACTTAGGTTACCCACTGTAAGAAGTATAGTTCTTATCTGATAAATGAAATCATGGATGCGAAATAGGTTGAATAACTAGTATCGTACGAAATTAATAAACTATGTTCAATATTTTGTTGAAGAAAAACCACAATCACAAATAAATAAACCAAACGATAGACTGATAGAAAGATAATAGCACAGACTTAGTAGGTATCAGACGACCAACTTCCTAACAAAAAATTTCTTCGTAGAACGTGATTGGGAGCCAGTGATATATGACAGCTTCATTCGTTTTAAATATATAGATCTACTATCGGCAAAGGCATTTAGCTATACAGCCCTGTTTTGGGTAGGTACCTAACAGTATTCCTAGTTTCCACATTATTTTTACTTTAATTTAAATTCCTTTTTTGTTTTAATACAACAATAACAATAAAGCAGACTGATAAGTCTAGCTTATTATTATTGTTGTATTAAAACAAAAAAAGGAAAAACGAACACGTAAATGAAACACACATTTTTCCAATATTATTTATTGAATAATTTATTTTTTTACTTATTATATTTTTCACAGCTTTCTTCTGCATTCTCGGCAATTCTTAGCTACGTTTTTTTAAGTGGCACAACCTTATGAAACTTTTCAAAGTAATCACATTTTTTTTAAAGAGAGCACTGATATTTGCATACCTTTTTTAAAAAACTTAAATATACACATATTTAAGTTTTTCTAAAATTTCAATTGCCTTTGGCCAGAAAGAATGATGCTCTTTTCCTTTATGCTTTTTTTGTTTATCGATGCTCCATTGACACTATCAAATAATTGGTCAAATAATGCAACAACTTCAGCTGTATTTCTTAATGTTGTGCTGACGGGCCTGCCATCCACATAAGCTGCTGCAAATTAAAATATTCATACAATAATTGTATGAAACTTGATTCAAAACTATTAACTGTTAGTAAATTTCATCTAATACTCACAGAAATTTGCAGTGTAAGACAAAGCTGCAGACATATTTTTACACAATTTTTTTACCTGCAAAAAGAGATATCATATTTAAAATTATCTTCATTAGAGAATCATTATTGTAATTTAAGTGTAAATTATATTAACTACTTGTTACATAATTAAAAATACAGGTCATTGAATCAACACTTGCTCTGATAGAGAATATAGAAGCTGAATACAAATCATTTCTTTTATTTCTACTAATTAAAGTTATACTAACATAATAACCAATGCATTACCTTCATCATTTTATCAGGTATAACTCATTGGTCATTTAATTTATGACGTAGCCCAGCTTCAGTGTGTTGACAGTCTGTCTCATAGACATAAATAATATCATGCCACTTTGCAAGTTTACTATCCAATATTAAATTTTTTGTTAAAAAATTGTTCCTGATGCATTTTATCAAGTGTGTAGAATCCTAATGTTCAAATCCACCCCACATATTTTAAGAATGCCAACTGAAACAAAAATTTAAGAACTTCTTAAAACATAGATAACAATATAAAAATAAGAACCTTCACTACTTTCATTAAATCTATTAGTTTTCTTTCATATAAATATAATTCTCTGTACCAACCTGTGATTTCAATTTAAAATTTGATCACACTAAGTGTCTTCTTTTAGATTTTTGAGTGCTGATTGGAAAGCTGAGCCTTGGTCATATATTATTGCAATGGGAGTAAGGTCCAATTCAACAACTGTTTCTACTACTAACTTAAAAATATTCTTGATGTACAGTAGATGTCGCTCCTTGACAGAAATACTAACATAAAGGCTCTTGCCACTTGTAAACAGCACCAACATAAATACAAGAGTATGATCTGCAAAATCCACTTTCTTTTCTTGGTGTTCTACAAATCCATTAATGTTATCTTTAATCCTTATTACTTTTATTATACAAAAGTGCTGTTTCTAATGACATCTCATCAAATATAATGGAGCATATTTTTTGGAAATTAATTTGTCCACCTGAAAAAATAAATTCAAATAGGTAGGTACATATTATTATTTGGTAGTAATACAAAAAATTATAAACGTAGTATGAAAAACCTTATATGGAATATATTTACCTCTTACATGAAGCCTGGTTTTATGATTGATTTTCTAATCATAGTATTCAGTGTAGTTTTGGATGATAAAATAAAAAATTTTGCTTAAAAATCAATAACACTTTGGACTCTGCTTTGATATTGATAAAGCAATTATCTTTTCTTCGGTAGTGAATCCAACTCTCATGTTTATTTTTAGAGCACATAATCACTTGCAATTCAAAAACATTTTTTGCAACTGTGTTCATTTTTTGTTGGAACTTTTCAAATGATAACTTTTTACAAAACTTAAAGGTATTTAAGTATTCTTAACTTTATTATGAAAGTTCATAAATTCTCTGGTATAAAGGTGACAATTGACTTTATTTGGTAATAAGCCTTTTCCTTTTTGTTTGGGTATATTTCACAGGGTCTGTAACATCAAAAGTATTCAGTGAATTTCTCTATTAGAACTACTATTTGATTGAAATAAAGATACACTAAAGAAAGAGACAGGTCCAATTAAAATTAAAATATGACACAAACTAAATACCAGATAATTTAGTTTGTGTCATATTTTAATCTCCAGAGCAAGCAACTAATTGAGTAAACTTACACCTATGAAATCAATATTGATTATGTGTGTAAGATTAAAAAACAGGATATAATCTTAGATGATATTAGAAATATGTTATTTATATTATCAATTTATTCTCTGATCAAAATCACTTCTAGCGTGCCCACTAGAATTAAGTAACTTAATGTCATTTTTCTTTATGTGTGTAAGAAAGAGAGATCTATTAGTCTTTTTTAAAGCAAAAATCTATATTAAAATACACCAAAACTGCAGCATGAACTTTGTTATCTAAATAAAATAAAATAAAAACAAACCTCTGTTCAGTTCCACTTTCTAATATGTGTGGTCAACATGACTTTTTCTTGCATAGCTGTGTTCCCAAGTGAATATAATTTCTGTAATAAAAAAAAATCTAATGAAGAATAACGGTATTCCAAAACACAACATAAAGTGAAGGTACATATCATTTTAATAACATTATCTAAAGGTAATAGCAGATTAAACCAGCCTTACCAGTATTGCTTGAAGAGGGTAGGCTGATTGAGAGCCCATCATCAATAAACAATGACGGATATGCATCACCCAAGAGTCATGATTTTGGAGTGATGAATGATGAATCTTGGTACAACGTGTTTGCTACAAATGACACTTCTGCCTGGATTAAAATTTTCAGTACCACACACAGCACTAAGACATTGTAACCACTTGGAGAATCTTTTCTCGTTCACTAGAATCTTATAAAGAATAGCGTCCCTGTTCGTACTTTAACAATGCGTGTAACACAACCATAACACAACACACCAATTTCTTAGGCATCTTCTACAAATAAAAATACTTCGAAAAATGGAGAGTTTATATTACAAATAAAGCGAAGACGGTAAGCACAAAAGAAACTTTACTCAATGACTTGTAATTCCCTGATATGTAGGTACATACTTTAGTCTTCTTCTTCTTTTATTAATGGCATATCTGCGCATTTCACGCAATTTTGCCAATGTGAAATGAATAAATTAATTCCAACATGTAAAATGAATTAAAGATTGATTAAAACATTACTATCTTTACTCTTTGTTGTAATGACAGTTTCTGTCAGGTGTCATGTCTCCATCTACTGACAGGGGTGAGGGGCGTGAGGAAATGTCATACATCACTGGACCCCTACGCGATTGGTTTATTGTACGGAGTTGACGGGCCGTGGATAATAGTTACAAAATAACTGAATGACAACACCTTTAAAAAAAGTTCACTGGCCCTGGCTTCTATGGTTTCAGCTTGTCTTTATTTTGAGATAATTAATAAATTTACAAGCGGTTCCTTTATATATCTGTATAATTATCGATGTTTTACTGAGATCTGCAATAAGTCTTGTAATTAACGGGGTACATTTTTCAGTTTTTTGTATATGTGTTGACAATATTAGGCGTTGCATAACGAAATTTGGACATTTCAAAACGAGGTGTTCAAGATCGCAATATCGACAGTATTCACAGATGTTGCTTTCGGTCAGTTTCATTTTATACAAAGTTTGATTGGGATGTCATTCGTACCTAAACTGGGTCGATCCGGCTCATCTTCCATGAACATTGAACATGTCTCGAGACAAGTATAGCCGCCGCTGCTGCATAAAGCCTCAAACGGTGAAAATGGCATAAAAATTACTCTTATATTGTATTAAGAAAAGATTTTTAATAAATAAAGAACTATATCAATAATGATTTAGCTATTATTATATATTTATTTAAAGAAGAATTGATAGAGATTATTATGACGTAAATGAGCTCGTAATTAAACTAAACTTAAAAATGAACTTGTTCTGATTAATCGACTAATTCAACATAGCCAAACATAAACTATTGAAGTTGGACCCATGATCTTTGCCTAGTAGAGTTAATATTCAATAAGATAGGATTATTGAAAATACAACCCTTAAAGGGGCGAAATAAGGGTTGAAAGTTTGTATGAAATTCCGTCAGTTTTAGAGTTAGAAACTTGAAATTTTTTTAACAACCGTTCTTTATCTTTAAAAGTTAACAATAGTATTTTTGGATCGAAGAATTCTTTCAAAGGTACTCCACAGGGTTCTGTATTGTCCCCTTTAATTTTTATTCTTTGCATGATTAATTTCATGAAAGCTATACCTGATTCTGTTAATTATTCCTTTTACGCTGATGACTTAGTTATTTATTTAGAGTACGATGATATTTCTCAAGGAGTGCACTCTATGAACAGTTGTCTTAGTAATCTAAGTAATATGCTTAGCAATTACATTCAGCTTGAAGTAAATGTAGATAACAGTTCTGTTATGGTCTTTGAACGAATCAGTCGCACAATATCTCCTCGCATTTTTTATAATAATTCAGTGATTCCTTATCGAAACACTGTTAAATATCTGGGTATCATGCTTGATTCTGATCTGTCTTGGGAGTCACACATAACTTACATTTGTAAGAAGGCTGAACTTCGTTTAAATATCTTAAGGTCTTTGGTAGGGGTAAGTTGGGGGTCTGATCCAAAGATTTTAAAAAACTTGTATATATCTATGATTCGCAGTCAATTCGATTACGGTTGTATTTTTTATGCACATGCATCAAATCATTTGCTGCGTAAAATCGATGTCTTACAGAATAAATCTTTACGTGTTATTACCGGCGCTATGATGTCGTCCCCCATTAATTCGCTTGAAGTCGAGTCTGGGATACCTCCTTTAATGGTACGACGTAGTTACATTACGGAAAAGTTCTGCTTAAATTTAGTTAGTCGCGAAAATGTTATTGTAATCCGCTACTTACAAAACTGTAATATTCCTAATTACAATAACATTCCACTCAGAATTGCCCCCACTTTGACTGATTCTATTACATATTTAAATTTCGAGTTTCAGGACATTGTGCATTGGACGAAGTTAAGCCCTTGTTTTTCATATAATTTTCAGTCTATGCTACGAAACATTCCTGTAACTTTGTCTCGTTTCGACTCTAAACTCGATTTTTATATGTTTTTAGATGAAAAAAGCGACTGTATTAAAATTTACACCGATGGGTCGAAAAGTAAATCTCGCACTAGTTTTGCTTTTTATGATTCTACAAACAAAGTTGGTAAAGTCTATTCTTGTGATACACATTTTTCAATATTTTCTGCCGAAGTTCTAGGTATGATCTATGCCTTGAAATATATTTCATGTAATTTAAATTTTCTAAATTCATCAAAATTTTTAATTCTTTGTGACTCAATGAGTGCACTTCAAGCTCTAGAACAAAAAAGTATTAATTCTAACAAAAATTACCTTCTTTATGAATTAAGACACTTAGTAGTATCATTACAAAACATTAATATTGTAATCGAGTTCTGCTGGGTTCCAGGGACACTCTGGTATTTTTGGTAACGAGTTTGTAGATAAACTTGCACGTTCTGCTCCAAACATTATTACAATAAACGACTATAAAATTCCTTTATGTGATTTAATCACTTATTTGAAAGACAACATGATCAAAAGATGGTGTTTATCATTAGATCATTTTCGCGAAACTAAAGGTAAATGGCATGCCGAGATTGTACCTGTACCCAACACTACAGCTTGGTTTGAAAAATCAAAATACTTCGGTAGGCAATTTATAACTAGCTTCTGTAGATTAAGAATAGGTCACTGTAAATTTCCATCTCATCTTCACCGTCTTAGATTAAGTAACAACGCCATTTGTAAATATTGTAACTTCACAAATTGCGATCTTGATCATTTATTTTTTAATTGTCCATATTTCAATATACAACGCCTTCTGTTTATTAGTTTATTTTCTGAAACAATGCCTTCCAAAAATTTTCCTCTAAATGTAAAAGAGTTATTGAAGATACAAGAGATTTATTGTATTATTTATAATTTTTATGTCAATACTTTTGGTCCTTTATAACTTTAAATTTAGTCTACTTATATATATATATATAAAAAAGTTGTTTGTATTTTTTATTATTAATGTGTGTTTTTCGTTTAGTTTTACTGTAAGTTTTATTATATTATTTAAGTTCATTGTGTTAGTTTGTAGTACAATTTTGTTAAGATTTCTTTTCACATTTAATGTTTAAGCTGATGGTCAGTGTAGCCAAAGCTTCAATAAAGAAAAAAAAAAAAAAAGTTCATAAATATATTGGATTATTATAAAGTTTTCTAAACCATTTCAATATGAAAATTAATTTAAATAGTCAGATAAAGGGACAAAATGTATATTTAGTTCCTTACCAAAGACAGCATGTGCCAAAGTACGTAAATAATTTACCGACAAAATTATTTCTTTTTTTTATGTGATGTAGTATGCTAAACTTTTTAAACGTTCTTAAGAGTAATTTAACAGTGACGAAATTTCTTCATAGGTATTTATTGTATCAAAAGTCGAGTTCATTACAGGTATCATACATGGATGTCTAGTAAAGAACTACAAACACTAACAGCCTCTGAATCATTAACTTTAGAAGAAGAATATGAAATGCAAAAGTCATGGCAAGATGATGAAGATAGTAATTTTCTAATTTTATTATATTGCATATTTATAAATTCTTCAGTACCTATGAAGTGTGGATGATCCACTTTTATTTATTTATTTATTAAGATATACAAAACAGGTGACAACCAGGTGAAAATACAAATTAAAAGTATGTTTTACTGTACAAAAACATGCATCTGTATACTTAAAATACTTATTACATTATTTATAATTAAAATTTTTGAACATCACTAAGTCACTAAATATCATTAAAAAGAAAAAATTACACCAATCCATTAACAAGCTTTCTCTTAAAAGTTACAGTTGAATATATCAATATCCAATCCATTATCAATGAGTTCATTATATTGGTGGCACATGCTAGATTTAGGATTATAGTAAGAGCTATTATTAAGATACACATTAAGTGTAAACATTTATGGTCTTCTTATGCAATAATTAGTTTTAAAATTTATTTGAGACAATAAATTAGAGGATTCTATTTTAAAGTTTACAATTTTATAAACTGTCATTAAATTTAGGACCCCTCTCCTAATTGTCAATGATTGCAAATTAAATCTTTTCAATCTCTCTTCATATGAACATTAGGTGTGTAGTAGGTTGAATTTATAACATAAGAACCTAATAAAGCACTTCTGTATTCAGTCAAGTTTGTTAATATGAACTAGATATTTAGGTGACCAAATTACTGAATTATAAACAAGAGCTAAATAAATTGTTAAAACAGAAGAAATGTTTTTAAATGGTCTTGCATTTCTGCATATTAAAACCTAGCATTTGAGAAGATTGAAAATTAGATTATTGAAAATATAGTCTTACAATATGACAATTTACAATCAAATAACACTCCAAGATCTTTGACTTCTGATTTACGTGCCAAGATATGATTATGAAGAGTAATTGAAGTGTTTAGAATTATTTTTTTGTGTGAAATATATTATGAAGCATTTGCTTATATTAGACAATGCGATAAAACTTCAAACTGATAATTACGCAAGACATGGTTGGTAGTAACTGGTGAAATATACATATTAAAAAAATCTAAATCAAAACCTAACATGAATAGAAATAATTAATTCTAGGATATATTGTCAGTTTACTGGTACTATAACATTTTATTTAATAGAACTAGGTACAATAATCCAAGATAGTATGTATTTAATTTATTTTTGAAATGTGACACTAAAAAAGTTTTATGTATATAAAATTAGACTCAATATTGTTTTTTTTTTTCATTGCAGAATGTACTTTCATTATATTAAATAAGGTGAAATTTGATGAAACAACTGATGAAATTGGTAATTTTAATATTTATGTATAATATAAATTATGAATGAAAACAGTGTTTAATAAGTAATTTTGTATTATTTTTATAGATTCCATGATTGGAGATACAAATATATTTATCAAAGATAAGCAAGAAGCTCTAGGAGAAATAGAAATTATGATTGCAGAAGAATCAGTAAGAGGAAAAAAATTGGGTTGGGAGTCTGTAATTTTGATGTTGATATATGGTATACAAATATTAGGGCTTAAGATATACGAAGCTAAAATATCCATTACTAATATAATAAGCTTGAAAATGTTCCATAAATTAGGATTTGAAGAAAAATCTGTAAGTGATGTTTTTCAAGAAATTACTTTGGAAAAGGTTGTGACACAAAAGTGGAGTAATTGGTTGCAAGAACAATATAAATTGGAATTAGTAGCTTTAAATAAATAATAAACTTTATAGAAACTGAAAATAAAGTTTAAAAAGTAATTTAAATTAATTATTTTGTTAAAATATGTATTTCATATTTGTTTTTTATTCAAACTTAAAATGCAAATAATGTGATAGTATGTGGAACAGAAAGGAGTTTGGATTTACGTTTAGTTTCTTCGACAGCCCAGGGTCTTAAGCCGCTGGTCGTAAGTCTCCTGTGTTGTTCTGGGATAATTTTGATATCGACCTATCGTTATCGTGCCCTTTCAACACAGCCTTGATTTACTAAGTTTTTTTGCTGTATACACTTTCGAGCTTCAAGATTTAGTTGGAATGGGACCTTGCGGGATCGATCATTCGCTATGGCCGCGGAGTTGCAACAGACAGTACTCAGGGACTGTCTATCTACCCTCGATTTATTTATTTTTGTCCAAGTTAGGGAATGGTAGGTAGGCGGATGAATTAAGTTGTGTTACCATATTCAATAATTTGTTTGTAACGCATTTTAATGCCGCGACCGCACGTTTGGCACTTGCCGCAAACTCCAAAACTCTACAAACGTTTGGCTTAATTTAGGGAATCAAACATCGCCATTAACACGCATTCGAGTGAGTAAGTGTGTTTGACGAGATGGTTATTGGTTTTATATCGGCCATAACGTTTGGTTTAAGTTGTTTTTTATATTTTTATTCCATGCATCAGCTATTTTTTTTATGCTTGTGATCAGTATTTCCCGGGTCCCAAAAGCATGCAAGATAAAGTTCCAGAAAATTTAAAACATCTTCACTTGACCAGTCATGTTTTGATAGTCTATTTCATCTACATTGGCGAATGATATAAACAAACAATGAGGAAGTACCTATTTAAAAATAAAAATTCTTTCTTGAAATCATACTTGAATGTGACAACACTGCCCGCGCGCACGCGGGCGAGACTTTTTGGCGGGCTTTTGAAAAAGAAGAGCGCGATTTTTAAAGCTAAATTTTAGTTTGTTTTAAATACTGCACATATTAAATAATTTCATTTTATTTTAGTGTAATTGTGTAAGTAGTGATATAGAAATAATAAAAATGAATAAAACCCCGGGGGGTGACGGCCCCGGGGTCGATTCCTATCGTCCTACAAAAAGACTGAGAGAAAGTGTAGAAAATGAGACAAATATAAATTCTAAAGATATGGGCAAAGATTTTTATAAACCGTATAGTAAATCAGGTTATACGAGAGTATTTCCTGATAATGCAATTGGAAAAGAATTCTGTGTTTTTGTAAAAAAGGAGAAAATCAAAGGTTTAACGAATATATGTAAGACGCATTAACGCTAATAAAGTCGGTGTAACGTTCTCACAAGCAAACAATTCAAACAATTTTCTAAAAAATGAGTTTTCTCAATCACCACAATTTCCGAGCATACATTCCGGCTAGAGCAATGGAGAAAATCGGTGTGCTTCGGTTTGTATCCACTAATATCTCAAACGAGGAATTCTTTAAGAAACTATCTTCGTCATACGAAATTGTAACTGTTCGTAGATTTCAAAAAATCGTAGACGGAGTTGTAAAGCCTTTCGGGTCAGTGAGTATCACATTTTTAACAAACATCGTACCAGACTATGTATACCTAGATTTATTTAGGTTTAAAGTTTACGATTATATAGCTCCCTTATGACAATGTTATAAATGTCTTAAATTTAATCACGGAGCTAAAGTTTGTAATTCCACTCAAAAGTATTCTATTTGCGCAGGAGAACATCATTATTTTCAATGTAACAGTGAAGCAGTTAAAAAATGTATTAACTGTGGAGGACAACATTTGGCAATTTCGAGAGATTGTCTTGTTAAGAAACATAAAATTATGGAAAAAACTAATAAAATAAATTACGCTAACGCTATTACTAAAAACGATAATAATCTCATGAATAATAATAATTCTACTTTTCCGGCATTACCCGCAAAAGCTATGAAATCTACTTCTTGTTATGAACCTATGTCATCTGAACAGATACTAAATGAAGTCTTAAAAAGTGACATAATTATTAAAGGATTAGTAGGTACACTAACACTAGTAGCATTGGGGAATGATGCAAGAAAGTTGACCTCTTCTGTTATTAAAGAAGTATTAATAGACAAACTCAAAAATTGATAAAAAAATTATTAATAAATGTCAATATAATGTACAAAGTATAAACTCTAAAAATCCTTTGCTAGTTAATTTTATTAATGAAAAGGACATAGACAAATGTCTTCTGAATGAGACATGGTTGAGAGATAGAAGTAATTTTAGTATTCAAAACGAATAACTTTGAAGCTTAAAATGGACCTGATGGCCATGGTGGAGTTGGTATATTAATACGCAATAATTTAAAATACAATATTATACCAACAAAATATTATGAACATACACAAACTAAAGCTATCAGTGTAGTCACTTGTAAAGGTCGTTTGACCATCCTAACTGTGTATACCCCTTGTAGACGACGAGGGCTCGCAGTAAAAAATAAAAGTCCGAGATACAAAAGAAAACGACGTAGTTTTTTTGAAGGGAAAAAATTTAATCACTTTTAAAAAAGAGTATATAAAATGACAAAACTGAAAAGAAAAACCCGAGACGTGCTATCATTATTTAAAAATAAAAAAGAAATTTCGCTCTATTCAATTATCTAATCATTCGCTCTTCCCTTTGCTTCAATCACTCGAAGAAGAAATTAACTCTTCCAGATATTGGTCTCACAAAAATCTTCCTTGTTTAATAAAAAGCTATAAAAAATATAAAAACCTGCACAATCCCACTCATCGTTCTAACTTGCTGCCACTTTTTGATGTTAACTATCAATCTTTAATATTATGTCCGAATATTATCTTAAAGTCTATTAATAAAGATCCTACAGCCAATTTTAATTTTAAATATACCATAGACTGTGAATTTAAAGACCATCATCATATTTTTACTAATGCTTCAAAAAACAATAAGTCTGGCAATGTAGGCATAGGTGTTTATCATTCACAATACAATGTTGTTCAAAAAATTAAACTTCCACCCGAATCCTCAGTTTTCACAGGTGAATGTTATGGACTTTTAAAGGCCCTGGAATATGTTATTATTATGAAGCTTAAGAAAACAATAGTATTCTGTGACTCAATGAGCGCTCTTCAGGCTGTTGGTAAATTTCCCTTTCGAATGAAAACATATTATCCTGTTATTTCTGAAATAAGAAAATTACTTTATAAGTGTTACGTTAACAACTACTACGTACAATTTATGTGGATCCCAAGTCATTGCGGTATAGGTGGCAATGAGATAGCTGATAGATTAGCAAATGAGGCCGTGAACTCTGGTGACATGCATCCATATAAAAATTTTAGCCATGACCTCTTGTCTATAGCCAAGACAGATCTTCATAGTGCCTGGTGTAATATTTGGGAAAATAGCTCAAGTAAAAAAGGTAAATTTTATGCTTCTATTCAACCACACATTTCTGTTAAACCATGGTACCGTACTGCTGATTACGGAAGAAAGGCTATTTCAATAATAATTCGCATGCGACTTGGACATGTTTGCACTCCTGATCATCTCTCTAGACTTGGTATTATTAACAATAACATTTGTGACTGCGGTAAGGGTATTATTGGCGAACTAAATCACATCATTTTTGCTTGTTTAAAGTATGATCGCTCCTTCTTTTTAAATGACCTAATATCAATTAAAATTCCTTTCCCAACTTCCGTATCCTCTTTGCTCGCTACGAATAATCCATCTGTATATAAATCTCTAGCAAAATTTATTATTTTCAACAATATTAAACTGTAATATAATTTATTTCTATCATCCCTTTACCTTATATTATAATAATATCCTTCATCTGATCCTTATACCCTTCTAATCCTTATTATTCCAAATTCCCGAAATCCTATAACTTTTTTCCTGACGTTTCCCTAACTTTGCTTACAAATAAATTGTCAATGGCTAAATGCACAAACCGTGCGAAGCCAAAAAAAAAAAAAAAGGAATTTATTCAACGACGAAAACGTCCTATAATAGTGTATTTGACACTTTTCTGAAAACTATTTTAAATCGATGTTTGCTACATTATAAACACACTGACATAATATTTCATTGGAATCTTTTCTATTATTGGTGAAAATAATTGTTAAAATTTAAATAACCAAAAGCGCGCGAAAAACGCTGCTCTATGTTATGGCGCTGATCGTGACGTCACAGGCCAGTAAATATGTCAAATCGATAAGTAACAACTGTCTTTAGAGTAAACTAGGGATGATCGATATTGACATCGAAGTCAACATTCGATGAAAACCATCGATGTTCCCCAAACATCGATTGCGTTGTCGTTAAAGGAATTAACCAGCTTTAGAAAAAAGCCTCTCTGAAGCCGTGGAAGTCGCTGTGCAACATAAATATTTTAATGCAATCTTTTTTAATGTGGGATAGGTGGATTCTACCCCTTAACATAAAAGTAATGGAATAAGACAAGTGTCATAAAAAATCACGCGGGAGTTTTACGGAAAGAGAACGAGCCCAACGAGCATAAAGTAACTTTTTTTATATACATAAATGACCTTTTTCCGTTTTACACAGAAATTTTGCGGGATAGTGAGAAACGGTTTTCAAAAGTTTCTTCCTCCCTTGTTCTAAAAGTACAACACAAAGCAAACGTCACAAAATGTACCAATCAATTAAATAAAAAATATCGCCATAAATATATAATAGTGCCATGTAGATTGTAGTGTATTGTATTATATATATATGTTACGCTCAAAGATCGAAAACGCTCAGTGAGCGGAAAAATAGCTCACAACGCGTTGTGGTCACAGTAAAACATCCACATGGCGAAATTCGTGTTATGGCTCTAATGAAAACGCGCACGACGCGTTGTGGCAATCACAGAAAGACCAAATAGCGAAATTCGTGTCGTGGCTGACATGCTATTCGATCTCAACGCGTTGTGGCAATGAAGAAAAGCCATCACGCGTATGGAATATTATTTGATTACGACGCACACTACTTTCCGATATGGATCCTACTAGGCCTAGGCTGGAAACGTTTTGGTAGATGTCCTTAGGAAATATTTTTTATTTTATAAAATCACTGCATAACGTGTTTGTTATTATGAAATATATTATATAAATTAAAATAAAACGATATTTGTTGTTTATTGAGATTACTTTATATTTAAAAAAATCAACGTATTAATATTAAGTAATAAATTACTGAACACGAAATGTTAATCATTTGTAAATTTCTTACAATTCACTTAAAATAATTAGGGATTTTAATTTTTTTATGACAATTTAAATTCTTTCAAGTAATAAAAATATTTAACACAAACATAAATGTTTATTGTCCACCAATAAACAACAATAATGTACTTAAAATAAGTATTTGATTGCTATTTATTTTTACAGGAACTATTACTGTGGCATTTGGAGTTGCATTTTATATTCTTGGAGCGACACTTGCACTTTTTATCAATACAGTATCTTTTGCAGTGGCACATTATAAACCCTTGCTTACTTCCAGATGATAACATAGATGCTGAGCGGAGTGTTAACGACGAAGTTCGTTACAACCTGTCCGTCGTGATATGGTTAAAACAATGAATGCTCAGAACGCATCATGGCTTTTCTTCATTGCCACAACGCGTTGAGATCGAATAGCATGTCAGCCACGACACGAATTTCGCTATTTGGTCTTTCTGTGATTGCCACAACGCGTCGTGCGCGTTTTCATTAGAGCCATAACACGAATTTCGCCATGTGGATGTTTTACTGTGACCACAACGCGTTGTGAGCTATTTTTCCGCTCACTGAGCGTTTTCGATCTTTGAGCGTAACATATATATATTTATTATATTTTTTAATATGCTTACAAGACGCAAAAAGATAGGTATGTTAGAAATAGACAAGATAGTATTAAGGTTAATGGGACGGGGGTTTTAGATGGAAATTGCTCATATGAAGTAGGTTGTTTCAGACAGTTAAAGAGGATGGGATCAGTGGTACCTTTTTCGATTCCGCAATCGCACGTGGAACTATCTAATGTACGGATCTTTGAAACTAAGACCGGTGAATAAAGTAATTTATAAGATACCAACGAGCGTGAAGTTGACAGATTTATTTTTAATTTTCTAGGAAAATGCAAGCAAAGAAAAAATTATTTGTTTGCGTACTCCAGTTACGAGTGCAACCGGTGACAAATAGTATAAACTAGTTGAACTTGATATACGAGAGCATCTAGCTAGTACATCTGGAGCACGTTAGATGGCCCAAAGGGTATCTTGACATTTTATTCATAAACATCGATGTTTGGCACGAAAACATCGATTTGCCGATGTTATCCAATTTAAAACATCGATGTTTATTCAATATCGATCATACCTAGAGTAAATTGAAATAATAATCTAAAAGAAAAATTGAAGTCGTGGTGCGTATTTTTTACGTTTTTTATTTTCCTCTGCTCTGGTTTTCTTTAAAAAGTGAGCTACAAGTGATGCGTAGTGCCGCAATGTACTAATACTTCTAAAAATAACAAACAAACTTCGAGTCCAGAAGAAAATAGATTCACAATCACAATAGTATTATAGCTATATAGAGTAGAGATGGGTGATAAAATTAGGTAAGGATTCGCTAAAAGTATTGAAACTTTTTGATTTCATATCGACACGTTTGAAGGTTTTCTTTTTGGTTTTTTTTCTTTGTCACTAACATTTTACGACTCATTTATATTTGTTGACAGGGCTCGCACTTTACAGCCTGTCGACCTACAGATGGATGAGACATTAATACGAAAAAGAATGTTCTATTTTTTTATACATGCATATAGTATGCATGTCCACTAAATGCATGGCATTTGATCCCGATTTTTCTAATATTAGTCTTTAACTTGGAGAACAGTATATATCATCAAAATCGATTTTGTAATTATGAATTATTATATTAAATTCAAGAAATGAGAAAAACATGTAAGTTGCTCTTTTTTTAAACTGCTGGCGTTTTCCCTATTTCTTGGATTTTTTAAAAAGCTTACTAAATGATTCTTTTTTCTGTATTTCTTTTTGGCAGTTCTTATCAGTAAAAGCGGCAAAGTATTCTGTTATCAGTAAATAACTATAAAGTACTCGATACCTACAGGCATCGATATTTTATGTATCTTTCTAACACTACTTTGACATGACAGCTGATGACGTCACAGGCCAGTAAACAGAATCGTGATTGGTTGTGATGACGACCAATTATAAGACGTTTTCGTCGTTGAATAAATTCCTAAAAATATTGCATTTTCTTTACGTTATTTTACTAAATCTAAACATGTTTTTTCTGCAGATGTTAAGAAATAAGCTTTATTAGATTATTATCTATCAGGATGACCACAAAATGCAACTTATTTTCGATAGTGTCAAATACCCTATAGGTCGTCGTCACAACCAATCACAATTCTGTTTACTGGCCTGTGACGTCATCAGCTGTAATGTCAAAGTAGTGTTAGAAGATACATAAAATATGCGATGCGAATTACAATGCCTGTAGATAAGAACTGCCAAAAAGAAATAATCTTTTACTAAGCTTTTTAAAAAATCCAAGAAATAGGGAACGCCAGCAATTTAAAAAAAAAGATCAACTTACATGTTTTTCTCATTTCTTGAACTTTAATATAATAATTCAAAATTACAAAGTCGATTTTGATGATATAAACTGTTCTCCAAGTTAAAAACTAATTTAAGAAAATCATCGGGATTTCATATCTAATTATCAAATGCTATGCATTTAGTGGACAGACATACTACATGCATGTATAAAAAAAATTTAACATTCTTTATCGTACTAATGCCTCAATCATCTGTAGGTCGACAGGCTGTAAAGTGCGAGCCCTGCCAACAAATATAAATGAGTCGTAAAATGTTTACGACAAAGAAAAAAACCAAAAAGAAAACCTTCAAATGTATGAATCCATTTTCTTCTAGACTCGAAGTTTGTTTGTTATTTATAGAAGTATTAGTACATCGTGGCACTACGAACCACTTATAGCTCATTTTTTTAAGAAAACCAGAGCAGAGGAAAATAAAAAACGTAAAAAATACGCACTACGACTTCAATTTCTCTTCTAAATTATTATTTCAATTTACTCTAAAGACAGTTGTTACTTATCGATTTGACATATTTACTGGCCTGTGACGTCACATAGAGCAGCGTTTTTCGCGCGCCTTTGGCTATTTAAATTTTAACAATTATTTTCACCAAAAATATAAAAGATTCCAATGAAATATTATGACAGTGTGTTTATAATGTATGTAGCAAACAACGATTTAAAATAGTTTTCAGAAAAGTGTCAAATACCCTATTGCACCAGTGGGACCAATTGTGGCAGATTATGCTGACGATATTCAAAAGTGGCAGGTTTCGGCAGATTTAAAATATTTTAAGAATATTTACAGTATCTCATTTGAATTTTAATGAATTTATATTTTTTGAAAGAGATTACCTCTATATTTAATTAATTTGTATAATTAAGTAATAAATGATTTCATCGACCTGGCAGCTTTAGTTTCGTGGCCAGATAATACGGGGATTTCCCACTTACTTTTTTTAAAGCAATTGTGTCAAATGATTATGAACTGTAACGAAACTGCAATAGCGTTCATATTATTATCTTCTTTAATGATATGATTTCCGAAATTTCAATAAACTTATGATTTTCGTTCATTTTTGTTTGGTCATTGGTCTATATCGTGTGCGCTGCTGTCCTGTGTAACGAAATTTTACAAAATGATACATTTTGGGGAGCGATAGGAAAAATCTTGGACGCGAATGGAGCGAAAAAATACCCACACATTTCTAATTTTGCGAAAGCGTTATTATGTTTGCCGATGTCTAAAGCTTTTTGCGAAAGAATCTTTTCACAGGTGAATTTAAATAAAAATAAGGAACAGGTTCCTGAACCACCTTGTTTCAGCTTTGATTACAACTAAGGAGGGGATTAAGGAACATGGAGACTGTGTCTCCTTTAAACCGAATGAATTTATGATTAAGAAGATATCAAAATCTATGTACACCGAAAATGACGAATGTTTGGAGGCAAATGCGGATGCGTAGGCAGAGTAAGAAGTTGAAAAAAGTTAGGTGTATAAAGTGTTAACATTAGTTGATTAAATTTTATTGAATACATTCTGCATTTTTTTTTTGACGTGGATACGTCTATGATTTCGTTCTACAGGGGGGGTCATTCTGTGAGCAGGAGTATATGCACTAACGCCATCTATTGGCGTATAAGTGAACTATGCTTGCTCTGCAGGGGGAGGGGCATTCTGTCAGCAGGAGTATATGCACTAACGCCATCTGTTGGCGCTAGTGAATACTTTTTTCATTCAACAAATGAACGCAACGAATATTTATTTATTTAGTGTTTAGTGTCTTCAATTTGTTTATTTATTTTTTTATAAATTACTCATATATCCATTCATACATAGACGTATCCACGCATAAAATATGGCTGTATCAATGGTACAGCCAACCAGGGTTTTTTGTTTTCATGAAGACATATTTTTGGCATATTTGGTACTGAATGTGGCAGATTTACCATTTTTAAGATTGTCACACTGGCCGCGACACACTCGCTCCACCATAGAGTATACCGCACGAGACCGCGCGGATACATATGTATTGTCCGGCTACCTTTGTAATTTAAGGCATATAAAACCTATAATTACAGTCCACAAATCTTTCATTCATCTCACAAAGCAACATACTAGATGTCACTCGTGATGTTTGGATTTTTTTTATGATATTCATTCAAATTTTGTTTCTGACGTAATAAAAGTAAATTGACTATTGAAAATTAATAAATATGACATCGTTTTGTGTTTCTTATAATATCTAACTTTCAAATTAATTTAAATTTATTTTAATCATAAATTTAATTTATTATATTACGTGTAAAGGAACAATGTTTGGTTTATATCAAAGAGAAAAATATTTTTCTCTTTGATCTACACATCTATAGTAGTCTTTGATTGGTCTGTGGTCGAGTTTTGGACTTTGTTGTTATCTCCCGGTTTTTCGAAAAATTTGAAATGGTAAAGAACAAATTATCAAATTTTATTTTGCTTCTGCTATTGGCATCAAAAACTAGATGTAGCAATGATATAGATATTAAAACCGAAGAAGACGTTGGTGTGAAATACGCTAATAGATGTGAAGTGTGTAAGATACTTGCCACGGAACTGCAAGGTAGGCTCGAAGAAACCGGAAAAATACACGATGTCATTGAAATAGGATATTCATTAGATGATGTCCAACCAAAAAAGAAAATGAAATACCAAAAATCGGAGTTAAGACTAATAGAATCTTTAGAAGGTGTCTGTGATAAAATTCTGGAATACAATATTCACAAAGAACGTCAAGACAGTACTCGATTCGCAAAGGGTATGAGTCAAACATTTAAGACTTTGCATGGATTAGTGGATAAGGGTGTAAAAGTTGACCTTGGCATTCCTTATGAACTTTGGGACAAACCTTCTGCTGAAATAACCAATATGAAAAGTCAATGTGAGAGCCTCCTAGAAGAAAACGAGGGAGCAGTTGAAGATTGGTATTGGAACCATCAGGGTGATACAGATTTAAAAATCCATTTATGTACAAAACATGCTTTGAAGGGAGCTGATGATTCATGTTTATATGAAAACCTAATCGAGTCTAATGCCAAGGGTGAACATGGAAAATTTGAAAAATCTGAGCTCTGATGACTATTAAGGCTAATTTAAAATCTAAAATAGGCTGTGTTAAAATGAGTATTGATCTTGCAACAGGATTAGATAAATACATGCATATTAAGTTAGTATTTTGATAAACATAAATTGTTATTAATAAGTACAAAGTGATCAATTCATTAAGTTTAGATTTTAAGTTTTTATATGAAGCAATTTATTTAAAGGTTTTTTTTAGATTACTTTTCTGAAGTATATTTAACAAAAATAAGTTAATAAGATTTTTTATCCATCTTATTTGCTTTTTCAGCCCTTCAAAGTATTGTAGGCTGCTAAATCACCATTGAAGTTTTCCTATATCCTATGTTATTGTAGAATAGTCAGATATTGCATTTACAGTAATATACGCATGAAATAATAATATTTAGAATATATCTTGCTAATAATAGCTAGGACTTAAAAGTAATAAAAGTTCTTAAGTTTTTATATGAAACAAATTATTGAAAGGTTTTTTTAGATTACTTTTCTGAAGTATATTCAACAAAAATAAGTTAATAAGGTTTTTTATCCATCTTATTTGCTCTTTCAGCCCTTCAAAGTATTGTAGGCTGTTAAATCACCATTGAGGTTTTTCTATATCTTATATTATTGTAGAATAGTCAGATATTGCATTTACAGCAATATACGCATGAAATGGTAATATTTACAATATATCTTGCTAATAATAGCTAGGACTTAAAAGTAATAAAAGTTCCAAAACTTGAAAACTATTATTTCACTATGACCGATCAAAGTAAAAGGAAGGGAGCAAGGTAGGGCTGGGATCAATGAATAGTAGAAACAAACTTATTACTTTACATAACTATTGTTGGTTAACATAAACTGTGCTACCTTTCTTTCATTCCATTAAAAAAAAATACATTTGAATATTTAGAATATGTTAATTGCAGCAAATGTAAACTTCATTGAATGTAAAAATAAATTTAAACCTCAATAAAGTTATGTAGAATCTTTTCCAATTGTGTTTGTGTTTTAATTTCAAAATCTTTGAAACTAAAAGTTTAAGAATATTTCATCCTAGTCAATTATAAATAAATAATTATTATTGATTATTACTATGATGTAAATAAAATAATAAATCTTTTAATGGTTATTACTAAGTTACAATTCAACATTATACATAGTCCCTATCTTTATTTTATGTTGAATGGTTTTTTCATACCTATTTTCCAATATTATTAGTTTGACTGTCATATTTATTAAAACTTTTTATATTCTGAATATGTAATTTCATTTTCAAGTAACAACGATTGTGTGATAATTTTGTGATGATGTGATGTTCATAAACAAACATTATTGAAATTCTAAACAGTGTTAACTTGAACTGCATATGGAAAGGGTTAATAAGTAATACTAAAGTCAAATTTACATTACAAATATGATAAAGTGAAGCACATAAAACTAGTTTCATTACATTAATTTCGCTAGCAGTTTCAGGTGTAAACATATTTTGTTTTGCAGGCATCAGATTTTGCAAACATAATAAAACTAAAATGGTTTCATGCGATGAAACAAATTTTCAGCACAAGTAAAATTAGTTTAATTTACTTATTAATAAACGCAATAAAATCTCTCACTGGCTGGCTTCATCAACGTAAAAGCTTTATTTTGCACATATGGTGTCGCGCGACACGAGTTTCAGCATATAAATATACGATACTATTCTAGCGTTGTGAAACTAATGCAAGCATTGTGAATCCGGACGTTTACACGTAAAATTACAAGTGAAAAAAATTTCATGCAACTAGTATCATACTTTAAATCTGGCTTAAAACCTTTTATTGCCAAAACGTAAAGTTTTTCGCAATGTAAAGTTATGACTGTGTTACTCAAAAGTAAAGCAAACCCCCATCACTGTCCATACAAATTGTATTAAATATTGTTCTGTCACACTTCAATGACCCCTTACCCTCTCCACTAACTGTAGAATTAACGGTAGACCTCTTGATATGTTTGCAAAATTTCAGGTCATTTATATAACGGGAACAGGTTTAATTAAAACAAACTTAAATGTAAATATTAAGCACCTTTATAATCAACTGTCAAAAAGTATAATCTATGCAACAGTACTGCACATAATATCTTATACAATGGTATAACGGTGCTAACAAATTGCAGACATTCTCCAATCATCAATTTCATGGAGAAATAAAATGACTTATAAACATAAATAATAGTATGTATCACATGGCGGTTATATATGTACAATTGTAATGTTTTACACATGATAGTGATGTATAGAACCTTTTAGAAATTCATATTTACTTTTACTACTAGATTTATTATAAAAATAAAGTGAGATACCAACTTGAATATGTCTGAATAGAGGGCATATTATAAATCCAAGATAATGTTTGTCAAATCTATTGGTAGTTATAATACTATGTACATTGCTATAATAACTACTTCTCATTTAGATAATTATCTATACTACTGCATTTATAATACATCCGTCGATTTCATGTTTAGTTTTGTAACTCACTTTCTTTATATTATAACTAAATAGCCAAATCTCTTCACATTTTACATTAATAAAATAAACATAATTCACCCTTGCTCTCATACATATAACATCACAATTTGTAGACATACACCCATCATTTTGATGCACATAAATAATGCTTTATAAATTAAGACTAATAGGATAAATACATTCATTCAATTGTACTCCAACACTCATGCGAATTTCGAGACGTAACTACAAATAATTTAACATTGCTGACGTACGAAGAGGCACCACTGTGTGCGCACCAGCAACGAGCGCTTCAAAATAATAAAAAATGGACGATGTACATCGTATAAAAATAACTATGTATAAAGTTCCATTGGTAATGTAACCATGATGCCTAAAGGTAGGGGCTGGTGTCTTGATATTCGTCGTCGCTGTCCTCTGAGCCGTCGTCGGTCAGCTGCCGTTGTGCGGCCTCTTCCGAGTCCCCATCACGCTCAGAGCTCGATACATCTGAGGTAAAAAGATACTCAATACAATAAAGTTGCATTATTTCAAGTAGTAAGTGGTATTATTACGAGTAGCTCGGTGGCGTAGTCGATAAGCGCCACAGCCCTCGATCGTTGTTGTTAAGCAACTTTCGAAAGGGTCGATCACGGGATGGGTGGCCAAAAAAAAAATATTATCTCAAGCTACTCCGTGCTTCGGAATGCACTGCATTTGCCTCAAATCCGCATTAGGCCAGAGGATTATGTCCTATTCTCCTTAACCATATGTAAGGAAGGCCTGAGCCCATTCCTACATTCTTTCAAAACACGGTTTCATTCGTTTCGAATGTCAAGAGGTCTAGTGGTATTATTTGATGATTTCAGTTTCTCCGTATGTTTCCTTTTTGTAATCATTAACATTAATCAACGTGTAAATTATAGCCTATGTAAATATAATATAAATAAGAAAGTAAACAAAACTTAAGATCCGTACATATGCTGTTTTTATTAATTGAATAAGTTTACTTCAAGCATCCTATCTCGAAAATAGTATGAGTAAACAAGAGAAAGTCGTAAAGATAATGTTTCGTCTTGTTTCCTCGCTGAATTAACATACGAAGACGTAATTTTATCAAACGAGCTTAAATACATAATTCAGTAGAGTTAATGCCTATTTGTATTACCCCACACGTACTTAATTATGAATTGACCACAACATGTCTTAAATTAATTAGTCTTTAAAACTGCCATATCCACATACAAAAATTGGAGCACCCATAAACCTTAGGGGGCGTCCATAAATTACGTGAGGTGTTTTTTCAAATTTTCTGACCCTCCCTCCCCCTTGGTGAGATGTCGTGAGATTTTATTCAATCCCCTCCCCCATCCCCAAATCTCACGTGTGATTTTTCAAAAAGTGGGTTTCTTATTTAAACACGTTGGATTTTTTTATAAAAAGAAAATAAAAATAATTCGCTTCGTACTTTTATTTACGACTAGTTAGAGACTAGTAATCCATATTGCTCTCATTCATCGAGTCACTCGTTCAGCTGACAGTGGCGCGAAAAGAAAGGACGGGCTACATTGTACCGTAAATTCAAATTAAATTGAGCTATTTGGTATAAAACGAGTATAGTGGTTTGACAATCAGGAGTGATGTATAATGTCAAAGTACGTATGAAATTATTTTCTTTCCAACGAATTAGTAAATGATCTTAACCTTAGACTTGTCACTCTATGAGGGATTCCCCGCATCGAGCCTTATTTTAAAAATTGCGTGATATTTGCCGAGACCCCCCCTCTCTCCAACGTGAGATTAGATGAGATTTGACTCGACTCCCTCCCCCCCTTAAACATCTCACGTAATTTATGGACGCCCCCTTAACAGATTTATACATGCGTAATAAATATTATTTTTAATGAATTTAGAATTCTTTATGTTTATTAACCTTAATATATAAGCTTTTAAAAAAAAAGCTTTTTACATACTATTTACACTTAATACACGAGGCTTATTATCTAAGCAGTATTGGACATTATATTGCTGCTATGATAAATTTATCAGAAATAAATGAGTAATCTGTACAGTCCCACACTCTTTTAACGCAGAAGTAAGCAAAGATAAAACCCACAGTTTATCATATCATAAACAAAAATTAAGTGATGAGGAATTTAATTGTAGTTTTACTTAACTGTTTAACTTAAGTCAGTTCAGTCAAACAAAATCAATTTAAGCAATATTATAAATATACGTATGATTATCGGTAACAGTATATTAAACACATACAGAAAAAAAAAGTTTTTATTTTCGTTTACTGTTGTCTACGCCCGTATTAATGGTAAAAAATACAAAAACAAATTAAAGATACTCTGTTATATAATTTATTTAACGGATAATTCGATTCGATGACTAAAATATTTATATCCGTCAAGATTTTAATTTATTTTCTTCATCCTGTATCACTTCCCCATTAATATGTTCCAATTTATGGGGAAGTGATATTGCTGGTTATCACGAAAATGAGAAATAATTTCAATGAGAAACAGAAATAAGTTTAATTATATATTTCCTTATTTATACAATTACGTTATGTTGTTATATAACTGAGAATGAGTAATCTGTGCTTTAAGCGAATTGGTGAGAAGTATTTTTTTATTTATTTAATATATTTTTGGTTAATAGTTTATTGGCATCTATGACAGAGATTGGAACGAAATATAAATGTCGGAGCCTATACAATGTAAAGAAACAAATAAAATCTTCCCTCTTTATGAGTACAGAGGATTTCTATAAGACCCAGTTTTACAAACGTTATTAGTTTGAAGCGACATTACAGATACAAATTATTATATATAGAAGATTTTTTAAAGTTTAAAACCGTCATTAGAAGTTTATGTAACTGCTCGTATGACACTAAAATCTACCTAAAGATAAATTATTATGAAAATAAGATAAATCTCGTGATATGGACAATCGAATCTATCATACTAATACTAAGGGGTATTATAAAATAATAAATGAAAATGTTATTAAACCAATGCTCACTTAATGTTATTGTTTTAACTATGTACACGATACACTGATATAAAACGCATTGCAGATTAAAGACAAATATATATATATAAATAAATATTAATGTGTAAGTACGACATAAGTTGATAAAACTAAAACAACATGTGCAGGCATTAAAGGTGCAAAATAAAATTGAAAGAAACAATAGCGTGCATTCATTAATCTTCAGTTGATTAGAACAAATAATTAATTATAACTTACACGTACCGAGCTTTAAAATAGGAAATTATTATCTTGTTTACGCAAGGTAATTCGTTAAAATAAATTTGTAAAAATTAGAAGCAATATTTCCTTTAATTCCGCAATTGATTTTGGACTTAATCGACAACAAAATAAGGTTCATATTTTGTTGGAGAAATTAAACAAGTTTCGATAATGTGCTGTGAACCATACAACATAGTGAACTGAAGACAAATGTGTAAATTACACTAGCAAATACAAGCAGTGAATAATTACCCAGTTACCTGCTTGTGGTTCCCTCAAGGTCTCGTAGCGGCGCGACTTTGGCGGTGGCGGCGACGCTGATCCTCTGAAGAAACGAAAGAGTTTTAGTAAGCAAATTTAATCGACTGACACGAGAGATTTGCTAGTGGCTGATAATGCTAGTAAGGTAATATGCGAATCATATACCTGCGTATGGACGGGGTGGATAGAATATACTATACTATGGTGAGGATAGATCAGTGAGTTGAATGTACCTAGTTCAGTGCAGGTCCGATGGATCACAGTGTACCTGTGTAGGAGCGAGTATGATGTATCACAGTGTACCTGTGTAGGGGCGACTATGATGTATCTCAGTGTACCAGTGTAGGAGCGAGTATGATGTATCACAGTGTACCTGTGTAGGGGCGAGTATGATGTATCAGAGTGTACCTGTGTAGGGGCGAGTATGATGTATCACAGTGTACCTGTGTAGGGGCGAGTATGATGTATCACAGTGTACCTGTGTAGGGGCGAGTATGATGTATCACAGTGTACCTGTGTAGGGGCGAGTATGATGTATCTCAGTGTACCAGTGTAGGAGCGAGTATGATGTATCACAGTGTACCTGTGTAGGGGCGAGTATGATGTATCTCAGTGTACCTGTGTAGGAGCGAGTATGATGTATCACAGTGTACCTGTGTAGGGGCGAGTATGATGTATCTCAGTGTACCAGTGTAGGGGCGAATATGATGTACCTCAGTGTACCAGTGTAGGAGCGAGTATGATGTATCACAGTGTACCAGTGTATGGGCGAGTAAGATGTATCACAATGTACCTGTGTAGGGGCGGGGAGTCTCCGTTCTCGCTGGGCGGGGGCGAGGCGCGCGGGGAGGGCGGCTGGCTGAGCGCCTGCATGAGACGTCCCTTCGATTCATTCCAGATGCTCGACAGCCGACCGTCCGGCCCAAACAGCAGCAGGAACGCGTCTATGAGCTCGCGAGACTTCTCCTCCCACTTCGTCAAAATATCCACTCGTTTTTCGCCGATATTTGTCATAACCTACGACAATGATGTATCGGTAAAAGTAATTGTTTACATAACATATGATACTGAAAATATTATGTTTATTCTATTAAATACATAATTGTAATAAGAAGAGACCATATATCCACTTACTTTTTTCCCTTTGTCCTTGAGTTCATCCATTTTGTTTTGCAAGCGGAACTTCTTCTCGTTGAGGAATGACACGTTCAGTTCCTTGGCGGAGTAGCCGCGCGCTAGATTCCTCCGCACGTACACGTCGTAGTCGCGCACTATCCGCGCTACTATATCCGACGTTGACACACCTACAGACAATTAGATCACGATTTAGCTTTGAAAACCACTTTAAACCTGATTAAATCGGATTGAATTAATAAAAAATGTTTATCTATACTAATATTATAAAGAGAAAAGATTTGATTGTATGTATGTTTGTTTGTTTGCAACGAATAGGCTTCGAAACTACTGGAACAATTTTAAAAATATTTTACACCTTTTTTTACGTCAAAGAAATGCATTAGGTATTATCCCTGTCGCCTGGAAAGCGACAGGGGTTGTGTGGGACTCTCCTACTAGAACCCACCCCGAGACTAACCGCGCGGTGCGCTCCCGAAGGCCTACCCACAAAAACCCCTACGGTGTGCCGAATCGATATCCAAATAGCCGCTGACGTTAAGCTAGTATTCATACATTTGCATCTTCTTTAGAGATTATTCTTAATCAACCGTTAAAATTAAGTGACTTCTCTGTATGCGGTACTTAGTGCATGATTGTAGCAATGACCCCACCACCAGGGGCATTCGTTCAATGGCACAGTTTATTGCCTCCGTTGGCTTTATAAGGCTTCTGAAACCTTTGTCGGTTATCGCCCTAAATGCTTGCAGATGTAAATGCACAATTGATAAAACTTACGTAATATGCCCATTAAGAAAGTAGTAAGTCATAGTGTGAAATATAAATATTGTCAAATATATTGCCATAAAATTATAGCTTATGTTACTAAGTGTATAATAACATTTTATACCATATTTTTAAAGTAGTTCCAGTGGTTTTTGTGTTTAATACAAACAATACTTTTTTTTCTCTTTATAGTATTAATATGTAATGACATTATTATTAGGTATAGAATAGAACACTAATAATATTAAAGCTTTTTCTAATGTCTTTGTAAAATACTGAAATTTTTACTTTTGTATATTAATAAAGATTGGAACTTTACAACAACATTTATTAGAATAGTTAAAAATCAACTCAAACCATTATTTAAAATACTATATATTATCTAATTTTTACTATATATGTAAATACTATTAAAATTTGTAAGAGGGGAACAAATCCTGGCCAATCAGAATGATTCAAGTATCATTCATATAATAGGTAAGTTAAAATTTAAAAATGAATTTAGCTTTCTAAATATACCGTCAAAACGCCACTTCTGTCATGGCATCGCTATGACGCCACGACCCTCTGAAACTTATATTTTTCTATGTATGCGTTACGATCGAAATCGCTCATTGAGCGAAAAAATCGCAAAAATTCGTGTCTTGGCTGACATGCTATTCGACTTCAACATGTTATGGCAATGAAGAAATCCACGGCATATTTTGAACACTGAACATGAACTGAAGCGATTAGCTTCTGGTAATTTTTATTACTATAATAGTATATTAAACACTACCAGAAAAAATAATATGTATTTATTTTCGTTTACTGTCTACACTCGCATTGACATCGCGTCATATTCATTGGATTTTACTATTACTTGTCATTCTACTAGTAATTAAGTAACTCACCCTCCGTCCTCTGCGTGGCGACGAACATGTCTTTGGCCTTGATCATAGCGTAAAGATCCTCGCAGTCTTCTGTCGTGTACGGGATATCGTCGTGAGCCACAAAGTCGATCTTGTGTTTCTCTAAGAACTCCTCATCGTACTCCCATGGCGCATCCCGGATTACCTGTAACAAAGAGTAACAAACGTTATGAACGAACGAACGTTAGACGAATGAATGTTTAAATGAACGAATAATATTATCAATATAAAGGCCTCTTAATAAATCTGCAATTCCAACAAGGATCAGCAACACTAATGGAAGTATTAAAGAAAAGAAACAATATAGTGTGAACATTGTATTTATAAACCAGCGCTTCTAATAGGTCAATAACAGTAAACGTCTTGAAAATGTAACGCCTACGCATTTTTGAATAACAACTGTAAAATGCATAGCACTTTTTAAAACGAATATGAACACATAAGCTTAGTCATTGCAAACAATCATCTTTTAAAGTAATCATCAAATAGGACGTCTACATGATACTACACTCGTATTGTTTAACGGTGCTCGGTGGGTCAAGTTGACTTTTGGTTAAGTATTTAAAAGCCGGCCAAGTCTCGTGACAAATAGTAATAAAAATTATTCATTATTTGTGTACACGAATTCCGGAAAACGTTCTTTAAGCATTGTTTTATAGTGTATCACATTTTAAATAAAGTCAGCAGCATCAACTTATTCAAATTTTTATTTTAAACCTTAACTCATTGATCTTTAAGTTCATAATCGTTGCTGAAATTTGTAATGATTTTAACAAGCATTTCCTTGTTATTTTCAGTGAATTTTGTAATTTTTATTTATTTATTATTGAAACAAACGGCGTTACAAATAATAATATAGGTTAGCAGTTTCATAAGGTTAACATTAAGGCCACTAACAGGTTTCACATAGTCATTATATTTACATGTGTCGTTTTATTTGACTTTTTAACACTAGATTGACAAAAAGATAATCTTCTTAATAAAAAATACTTTAAAAACCACTTTGTCCCTGGCACTCTGAGATGGAACTAGAACTTTCCCAATCTGGGCAACTGCTCTAACCACAAAAAATACCACCCAGTCCCCAGTACTCTGAGATGGGAGGTAAAGTCTAAAAACTCATACCAAAAATTAAAAAAACTCATCTCAGCTATAAACGTCTCGCCCAAATACAGAAAAAATACTGTTTCAACTCCTGTACTGGGTACTCGAGACTGTAGTTTTCAAGAATTTTTCTTTAGTCACCACATCACATAATGTCCCCACTATTTGGGTTCAGGTCTTCCCAATGGACGGAATCAAATAAAATAGGATAATTTTACATTTTTATTATGATTATTGTCAGTATATTGAGCGGTGTTACCTCATCAACATATCTGCAGTGTCGGACGGCTTCATACCTCTCGTCTTCTGTCATCACTGTGCGTCCTTTGCGACTGTGTGTCAACTGATCACTGCATACTGAAACAATGCAGACATACACATTAGAGAATCTTTTTTATATTAGGAGTTTGACTAAACAAAAAAATAACCAAACCAAATCAATATTATCGTCTATTCTATCTGTATGTTACTGTCGGAGACGTATAAATGGCGGCCTTTACACTAAAACATCTCTTCCAGTAGAGGTTTAGGTAGGCTATTACCAAATATTTATGGAGATCGAAAAACTATGCTGCAGTACATAAAGTACGTAACTCTATCAGAACTTGTAAAGAATCGACAACAAGTTCAGTCAACAGCTTATCCTATATATGTAAGTATATATATAATTTCTCCTTTCATTTTTAAGCTTTAGTAATATTTAAGAATGCAAACATCATCGCCAGAATGTAATGTAACTTATCATTAATTAGCAAGGTGTGCTCCGACATGGCTCCGATTGATATGCGTTCGCGTGCAATTTGTTATTTTGAACCGACTTCAAAATCCAAAATGAGGAGGTTATGTGATGTAGCATCAAGAGCTGTGTCAACAAGAGATATTAGTGAAGGTCCATTGCTACGCCATAATTAAGTTAACGTTAACAGAACTGACGCCGTGCTGTGTTGCTGTGTAAAAATATACGTTAACATTTCAACTAATTAATTAATATAAATATTATAAAGAGATTTGTTTATTTATCTCAAATACGGAGTGACTAAAAATCTACAGGAAGCTACATAATACGCGGGAGACATAAGACTATAATTTACGCGGGTGAAGTCGCGGAAAAACAGCTACCTATGTAATTTATTTTTTAACTGACAATCAATACAGTTTACATGAACGCTTTCAATTATTTATAACATGAAAAATAAATGAACACTGTCCTTATATTAAATTTGATCAATTGTTCCAGGGTAATGTGGATTTTTTTTAAGCATTTTTAATTAAGAATTATTTTCAGTATAGCATTGTAAATGCAAAATTGATAAAATATAATGTTTAGAACAAATTATCAACTTTATCGAAAGTTTAAACATTTGTAAAAACATTTATTTCGGCTGATTGCCTCAATATTGATGAAAGTACGCTCTGTGGTAGCGAAAAAGCAACAAGTGCTAGTCATATGGGACACGAACCCACAACCTTTAGCAATGCGGGCTACTGCTCTAACTATTAGGATACTTGGAACTGGTGGATTGTATAGGCATTTGCCATCCTATTAATATTATAAATGTGAAAGTTTGTTTGGATGTTTAGATGTTTGGATGTTTGTCGGTCAATCACACCCAAACTACTGAACGGATTTTGATGAAATACATAAAGGTAAACATAAAGGGTATTAGTTGACTTAGATAATAGAATTTTTTATCCCACTTAACATTTCCCTAAGGACCACGTGGGCCAAGCCGCTGGCGAAAGCTAGATTTCACAAAATTGATAAAGATTAATAACTGAAAACTTGATGACGTATTTTTTCAACAGAATCAAATAACAGTCTAACACAAACCTTAACAGCATATAATAATGTTGATAACGTCATTACACACACGTATTAAATTCTGTAAATAAAGACATGAATATATTATCTTGTCGCTGTCGCGTCGCGGGGAATGTTTACCGTCACCACTTCACCTTGATTTAAATAAGATAATTTACGTTTGCCATCAATCTCTTAAGGAGGATTATTTAGATTGCCTTTCGCGGCTGTTGATATCCATTATTTTTATCTTCTGTGATAAATAAATTTAACTCCATTAATTTTAATAGTTACAATTTATTTGATGGAAACAATCTAGTTAAATGTAAATACAAACAATATTGTAATTGAAAATATCATCAATAATCCATTTATCCTATTAATATTATAGATGTGTAAGTTTCTTAGTTTGGATGTTTGTCCGTCTATCACGCCGAAACTGCTGAACGGATTTTGATGCAATTTGGTATACAGATAGGGTATTAGCTGACTTAGATAAAAGGATTTTTTATCCCTCTAAACATTCCCCTGGGGTCCACGCAGGCGAAGTCGGCGAAGCTAGTAATACATATTCTTCACAGATATATGATTGCGACATTTAGATTTTTTTTTTATTGCATTCGAGTCCTATCTATTACTGGGTAATTAGTTATTGCATAACATAGATAAGATGTTAAAGTGATTATTTGTAACGTAATAAACACGTGACAGCGTCTATACAAATCGGTTTTTATATTTATTTATTCATTCACAAAATCACGTGTAAGTGAGTAATTTACGATAATACGATAAATGGAGGATAACAGAATCGTACGATGACCATAAACCAATCGTGTTAAGTCTTACAGATTATAAAGTGACCCGATCGATATTAGTGGTGCGGTGAATCATCCTTGTATGGATGTTTTTAAATAATTAAAAACATCCATATAAATTTATCACTTCAGGTACAGTCAAGAGAACAGGTGCTCAACCACTTTCCCCAGAAAATCCACTGTCGGCACACAATACCGACGAAGGGAAAGTACGTTATGCATTTTATTTAATGTATATGTATTAACTCTTTTGGTTGTTAATGTTTATTAAACCATAATAAAAACTGCTTGTTCACCTTGCTGACGTAAATAGTACCTGTACCTATATATATTAAAAAAAAACCGTGAGGCGGCCAAACTGAACGCAATCTCTTTTCCCTTTTTGGTTGGTAATAATTAATGATTATTAATCAAATATGACGCATGAAATGGCCGCCTGTTATTGATTTTTAGGTCGAGCATTTATAAATACTTCAAATGGAGTTTAGCCAAGTTCGTCAACCTATTCAATAAGATGGGGATCATATTTTAATTTTTAATGATACTTTAGATGACGATTTTCATTTCACCTCAACTCGGACGTTCGATATATGCTGCGGGTGTGATTTTAATACGCATTATTGAAAAATAATGTTAATATAACGATCTTTAATGTTCTATTCGTAATGTTAGCAATTCTCACAGAAACCAGACATACGTGAGAAAGGCTTTGTAAGTAGAACAGGCGGTTTAGCTGCCACAGGTAGGGAATGCAATCCCGCAAGGAAATTTCAATCGCTGTATTTGGGGGACTGACTACTTCCAACTCCGCGGGATCGCTGTATTGGCGTGATCCCGCAAAACTTCGCTAACAAAAAACTGCGGAAACGGTGTTAATTTTAAGGAGATTAACTGAATACTAGAAATATTAAGGAGCAACAATTTTTAATAATACCGTTTTTGTTTTGACTCTTCTCTTTCTTTTTTTCATAAGTTACTATGAAAAGAAAAGAAAGAGGAATCTATAATTAAATATAAGTTTGAAAATAACTTCGTAAAAAGGTTAAGGTGTTTATTATATCGTCATTTAAACGGCTCCTATATTAACAAATTATATGTATCAGATAATGCGTGTTCAGCTTGTATACTTGGTAAATTGAAGGTAAGTTCCTTTCTATCCACTTGCATAAAAGTAGTTAATTACTTTCAACATGCATTATGCGGTTTAAGAATCTTCCGCCTTTTCAAAAATCGAAAGCACAATGAAATTCTTTATACACAATTTACGATATAATATATCGCTTTCCGAATATTTAACAGCAACGAGTTGAGAATTTGAACTGGTACACAAACACTCGTACGTATGAATTTTTCAGCCTTTAAATCCCGCGCAGGAGTCTGCTCAAATTACTCGTACAACCGAGACTACTCCCACAAACAAAATGCGGGATTCCGGTATTTCGTGATCCCGATAGCCCCAGTATTGCATTCCTCAGCCACACAGATATGAGCAAAATCATGGATGTATTAAAACCGGTATACGCGAATTCGACTACATCGGCAACAAAAAAAAAGGATTAGACCGTGGAGCAATATGGATCGAGCAACTGAATTGAGTAGGTCGATGTCAATGCCATAACAGATATCGAAAACGGTGACAAACCGGCTCTATCAGTTATATCGTACAAAAATATGGGCGATTGCTGTTCTAAACACTTTCTGCGTTCTATGTAAATGTGTCAGCCACACGTATCCAACAGTATCGGCTATAAACGTAATCTTATTAAAATTATCTCCTATTGATTAGATAGTTACCTCCAACGATGAGGTACACGTTTGGGAAGACAGTTTTAGCTTGCTGGAGCTGTCGCGCATGACCCTGGTGGAACATGTCGTAGATGCCGTCGGAGTAGACGCGGACTCGGCGGCCGCCGGCACCAGCGAGCGCCACCGCCCGAGGGATGCGCCCGTAATGGCATCGTTCGCGCTCAGACACTGCTGCAGGATCTGTGCTAAACGGAGCTGCTAAGCGTAGAGACTGGAACAACGAGAACGAACGTTCAATTACCATGTATTAAATTGACCGAAACAATAAATATAAATCGTAAGAACTACCATATCATTTGTCAAGTTTCTGTGCCATAAGATGAATAGGCCATATGCTTCATCTGAATACCTCCAAGTATGTAAAGACCAACATTCGCTGCCATTAATGCTCCGTAGAACAGAAGCTGATATTGTATATCTACTTAAGATTATAAATTGTCAAGTTGATTGTCCAGAATTGTTAGATATCATTAAATTTTCAGTCCCGACAAGGTCGCAGAGATACTACCGACCTATAGCGGTTCCCTCGTCATCTACAAATTATAGGCAGAACAGCTTTGTTGTTAGGGCCAGCGTAAGCTTAAATATGATGCTTAATGAGTGTGGGTATGATGTTGACATCTTTGATTGCAACATTAATTCATTTAAACGGAAAGTTATAGAATACATACTGTATTGTTAATTAATGGCGCAGGTACGATAATTTATTTGATTGTGTAGTTTGTGCGTGAAATAACTGATTAGATCTAAGCTATATCTATATGTGGAAACCTATAATTGGCTTATTGTTTGTTTTGCCATAATTTATCTTGTTTAATTAGCTGTTGGTTTTCCAAGATAAATAAATAACCCCTGATGGACTGATCTGTTTCTACTCGAACGAAAATTCGGAAAATTTCGAATCATTCCTATAATTTCATTAAAATAATATCCGTGAAGATTATCTACACATCCAAAGGCAGTGACAGGTCCTTCATCCGTTGTATTATAATTTGTCGAAAACTGTGTTTTCTTGGAGTCACGTTAGCATTTCTAAAATAGGCTAAATATCGTTTTTGGACAAACATAATAACCCTTCAGATAAGTTAAACGACTTTTAAACGGTTTCAACGCGTTTGTATTTAGTTTTATACGTTTCGGACCCTTAACAATTCGTACAAGTATTAAATACAAGATTGATAACTGGACAAATAAATATAGTTGAAGTGGAAGTGTTTGTTAATAGCAATATGTGCATGTTACCTCCTTATTCTAGTATCTGTTACATTGTAACACAGTAGTCGTTTGTCATAATTGATAAATGAACAACAGTTAAACGGGCCTTTCCGTAAACTAAAAATAAATGAATGGAACCATCGTTCACCAACCTTGAGCTTGATGACGTCAACAATTGTCTTAAAGTGAATGTGAATGCAAAACGAGACGTCCAGAGGTCTGTCATATTAACATGTCCATTATTGTAAGCGATCTTTGATTGTCAGAAATAAAATCTATTGAATTTTTTTTAACTTTCTAATTATCTTCTTTATTACGTTATTACGTTAATGTAAAACACAAAAACTATGTTGTACATGTTTGGCTAGAATATTAAATAAGTCATCAGTTTTATGACAAGACTTAATTGTTATTACAACAAGAATTATTTTACTTTATAATTTAAAATACATAATTAAGATAACATTTGGAAAAGAATTACCAGATTTATTTTGTGAATGACTTGTTTAGCTATATGAACTGTCGGTATTTATGTTTTCAGTGCAAAGGATCAATTAATAAACATATACCCATAAAGTTGTCATATGTCAAGGTTCAGCAGTCTGATTATTGTAAATGTACCGTTGATGATAACGAAGTGGTGTGATGTTTCGTCACCGGTTTCCCGGACGCTCTACACGATATAAAATCTACAGATAGATCAGCCAGTGTAATAAACATCACATCTAAAAATAGACGATTGCCTTCTATTCATAATATTGTCTCATTAACTGTGGACTATTCAGGCTTAGATTTTATAACCTAATGTTATAGCTTAAGGTGTATGAATTTTAAATGTCACTTTTTTGAATGAAGATTTTGGCCTTGACATTAGCGCTCAAGGCAAGTTCCCCTCAATTATATCTTATCTTCAATACATAGAAAAATATTATTGCACTAAAGACAATCGTGAAAATTAGCGGTCTACCACTATAGGTTCTGCTCGATTCTCACAGAAAATCCCTCATAACTTCGTGAAAAATTGAATGCAAATTGCAAAGTTTATAAAAACACCATGACGGTGCCAAAAAAGACACAACCCACCTTTTTATTAGATGAGTACTAACTTTAGTACCAGATTTAAACTATTATCCGACCAAATTAAGCCAAAACGTCTGAAGTTTTCTCTTCTGTCATTGTCAATTTGCTTCAGATGGCTAATGGTTTGAACCAAGTACTAAATGTAGTCTTCATTTAATAATAATACGGTTAGTGACTACAAAGCTAACTGAACTGGTTTTCTGTAATCGATTTTTATATTATAATAATTTGATTTTATGTTCGAAATATTATTTCATAGCAATAGATTACAAAATTCGAACTTAAAACTGTGATAACTAAAATGTTAGCTATGAGAAGTAAAAATATAAGATGAATAGCTAATATTATTATTACGTTGAAGGAAATTATAAATACACATTATATCATTTCTTATCTATCAATTATTAATGGGGCCGGGGGTTTAATTAAACTATAAACAACAAATTATAATTCAGTGAAACGTGCTGTTGGAATTTTCCAACAATAAAGTATTATTGCCGTAACCAATCGAGTTATGCATTTAAAAATTTTGATTGAACATACCAAACGCTGTAAAACATATCAAACCTATTCATACTTTCCATTATCAGTATAATCATAAAATTCAAATGTGTAAAAACTATGAAACACGTTACTTCTTAACAGTGGATGTATTTCCCTTTTCCAAAAAATTTTAGAATATTATATTTGATAATATTATAATTGTGAAAGTTTCTTTGTTTGGATGTTTAAATGTTTGGATGTTTGTCGGTCAATCACGCCAAAACTTTGGTATACAGATAGGGTATTAACTGACTTAGATAAAAGGATACTATTTATCCCACTTAACATTTCCCTAGCGTCCACGCGGGCGAAGCCACTGGCGAAAGCTAGTATTTGATAAATTTTGAATTCAGAATGCTATACTTTAGAATATGTTTATCTATCATTTACAATGATGATTAAGTGTTAAAAGCAATTTACTAAGAGGTTTTTGTAAAGTTTTTTCTTCCAACATTATAAAAAGCATCAAAAGAACTCAATTTAATAATTTTAACTATGAACATGTTAAATGTATTGGGTATCAGATGATGGACCTTCAAAAGATGACGTAGTTTCAGTATTCAACATTCCTTTGCCATAACATAATAAGGTTCAAGTTTACAATGTAACATTAACATACAATTAACTAAATGCAATGCTTACGTACCAACTCGCCTGCTTTGTGTGTGTTAAAATTTTATAGCTGACTTTATTTAATGACATTTTTAACTTATTAGACCGCAAATCAGATGTCTTTGTTGCAATAATTAGGTTCTCAGAGTTTTAGTTACTTATTAATTATTAGGTAAGAGACGGGGAATTCCAGTGTTCCACTTTACGTGATAAAGAGATTACGAAAAGGTTCCCGATATTCTGAAGAAAATCAACAACAAAATTCACAACTTGTTCCATTCGCACAACGCCCACTTTATTGAAAAGTAGGATTGCTTTTATAATTTTACTCTAAATCTTTCATTGTTTACTCCCCGAACCTTCAAAGACTTCTTACTTCTAAAACACATTTAGGGATGACGACAAATTTTTGTTTTCTTGTCAGGTAGATAGTTAAAAAATATTAAACACGAATTTTTTGGTAATCATTAAATTAACGACGATACATAGGGTTAAAATGTCAAATGACGTCACGCTTTGATACATTTTCTACAAAACTGACATAACGAGCCGCCATTCCTGAACTATGCCTGTTATCTAAGCTATATCTTGTTTAATTGAAGTAAAAAAAATACGTATCTAACATTTTTATATTATCTTAATGACGGACTAAATAGAATTTCTGATTTTTTTATCCAGTGGTCATCCCTATTATGGTCATACATTTATAAAGATATACGTTCATTTACATTAGAAAAATAACGAAACAAAACGAACAAATTATTTTGCTTAAGTAAATGAATCAGCGTTGACCAAAATCGACCAGTTCATACATATATCCGCTTTTTAGTAACAGATTTTTGTGCAGCGAAATAAACTTAATAATGAACTACCAACAGCGGCTGTAGTTGAACAGCTGGCATGAAAAAACAAGGCAACATAACCCATGACGAAATCAACCAATCAGATGAAGCGGATGCTAAACTCATATGAACTTATAAAAATATTTATTTTATGTAATGTAAAAATTTTGACTCGCTTAATATGACGTGCAAGATAACTTAATAATAGTCAAACACGAAAGAACAAATAAGACAATAGACATTTTACATGTTATTCAGGTAGATATCGCTTGACGCGTACAGGCATCGGTGTAAGGATTAAAACAGTGTGCATAGTGTGAAAACAAAACAAGGGAATTATTTTATAACACGTTATATAAAAAAGTTGCAAATTATGGAATATTGTCTGCATACTTTTACTAGCGCTATGTTCACGTATGCTCTGGAAATACGTGGCTGCTATTTATGTATCAAACGAACCTTTGGAAAGATTAGTTGTAAAATAGTGATTGTATTTAAAGAGCCGTATCAGCCTTATCAAAATTAAACAAAAGGTTACAGATGGCACTGAAGTTACAAACGGCAAACAATAGAACAAAAAGCAATTAAAACTATAGCCAATTAAAATAATGTCTTCCAGCATTATTATAATGTGTATGTAACGGTATTTCATGCAGCTTTTGCTAAATTTCTAGTTTAAAAAAGATTTGAGCGTTGCAAAACTAACCTACAGAATCTTATGACTGATTGAGTAATAATTTCCACACATGCAAATGCATCTCATACTCGTGGCTAGCAAGCCTTCGAAGTAATGGAATCAGCACACCGCTCACGCAGCGAATTCTCTCGAAGAATGCATTGCAAAACAGCGGCGGCGGCGCAACAGCCACGAACCTTCTAACTTGGGCAGGTAATAAGCAAACCATGACCGTTCTGAAATACTAATTCATTGAAAATATTCGAGGTCTTATATCAATTATATAAACATTTTAAAGAAATTTAAGCTTTTCGAGATTTCGAGATCTAGTAATCAGCGAAAATTTTAAAAAGAATATTGTTTGTCATATGCCCAATTTATTAAAAACTTGCTGAATTAATATATGTATACTTATTGCTGATTTTTAGTAATATATATTAATATTATAAAGAGTATATATTTGATAGTTTGTTGCTTTCGTTGCTTGTTTGTATGGAGTCCGAAACTATTGGATTAATTTTAAAAATTCTTCCTTCTACGGGAAGCAGCATATGCGGTGAGGTATGCCATAATTTACGCGGCTACAGCTTGTAAATAATAAAACACTGAACACTGAAGGCGTTCATTGGAATGAGGAATAATTTGTGTTAGAAACAGTCAAATATAAATTTAATTACATTTAAAAAGCAAAATGTGGTCATCTATTGTTGTTTAGAATGAAAATAAAAAGGTGATAATTTATCAAGATCAAGAGATTCATTCAATTTCTTTTTTTATTCAAGGTCCTTAATCGTACACTTGACACTTTCTAATTTATTGTAAACTGTTCCTTAGCCATACGTGCACAATAATAAAAGCAATAAGGTTTTAGTGTTATTTATCTATTTCGGTTGTTACATTTTTTTAAATGAAGTGTGAGTTCTCTGCAATCCATATATTTCTAAAATTATTTAAATCTTCACGCCGTATCCCGATATATATTATTGTCAGATTAATTGATTCAATAGTAAATCATGATTGATGAAAACAGATTAATTAAAGACAAAATTTGAGATTTACGAAAGCCACTGTCAATGTCATCGAGTTACCGTTGAATATTAGATCTGTAAATAGAGACTCCGACGTGGAAAGGCAAGCACATACTTTCACCAATAACTGCAAGAATGTTGTTTACTCCCACAGGTAGGGCCTTTAGACCATTATAAATTATACATATCGATCATACGTTGGCATTTGCATTTAAAATTTTGATAAAGGAAACATATGGTATTAGTATTTATCAAGACAGACGGTCTATGCCGGGTAAATATTGATCTGGTATAGACAGTACATAGTTAGTTTGTTTTTGTTTACATTGTGTTGAAGTACTCATATTAGGTATAAAATCAAGTTGTTCCCATGTAATATTAATAATATAATAGGTATTAACATTACTTACGACAGATTCCAATTCTGGCTTGATACATCCATTTTTCCTGTAGCCATTTAATCCTGTTTCCAGTTTCCCATTGGGCACATGTCCGTTTGTAAGTGTGGTGGTAATTGTCACCGCCGACATCATTAACTTTTACTAATTACTAAGCGAATGGAAATTCAGGTAAGTACTTTATTATACTATTCGAAGCAAGTTAAGTTGCATTATAATTTTATTACAGATTTAATATTTACGAGTCTAAAGGCCAGAACACCACATATGGACCTTGCGGAAGGTTTGTTTGTGTGACGACCAAATTCGATTAATTAACGATTCAATTTATGATGTCACGTGCTCCCTCCGCACAGTGGAAACCTCGACTGACTACGGAATCGGTAATTCGGTAAGAATGTAGCTGATAACTTCAATGTTACAGAGGCGCGCGGGTGATGCGGGGTACGGGGGGGCGGCGCCGGTGCGGTGGCGCGATGCCAACGTGGAGGTACGGCGGCTGACACGCGGGGAGGCGACTGGGCACGAGCTCGCCCGAGAAGTTCCGGTGCCGGGACGGACTAATGTCATCGTATTGGAGTCACTGTCATACCGCCACATGATACGGTAGATCACATGGATCGATCGTCGCCATCTTCCATTCATTTCATTTTCGTTTTACGTGTAGAAATTAATTGATACACTTGACGTTGGCAGAATTGGGCGAAACGCGCAGATAAGCCATTAATAAAAGAAGAAGAAAGTGGCATACGTAACAAGGATCACTTATCTAACAGGCGAAGAGTAATCGTAAACATACAAGTTAAAAAGATATAAGTAATAAAATAATTTAATTTAATAAGAATTAAACAAACAGTTTTATCTTTTACTTTGTACTTGCCGGATTTAACGCAATCATTTTTTTCTTATCTATAATTAGTCCATATGTAACTATGATTTAGCCGATGTCTGATTTCAAGTGGTGTACCGTACTATGGGTTAGCGTGTTATATATTGATTTAATTTGAACTATGTAAACATTTGCTGTATATTTTTTTTGCTTTGTCATCAATCACTTCATCGGTTTCTGTTCTGTTTTATTAGTTTCTTTTATTTCTGGTGAAAGTTTATTTATCTTGTCAATAAAACACACGCATTTTGTCATGTCTTATAAAATTCCGGTGAATGCCTAAGGTCGATTATATACTTCAACTATTATTTTATTAAAACTTCCGACTAAGTATTTATTATAACGTCACGGTCATCACGTACAAACTTGTACTAATACTTTATGATCACGCTGATACTAATACGAAACTTATAAATCACACAAAATCATTTTAAAGCTTAACATCAACCGGTATAGCTTTCTTACTTTCATTTCGCCATTTACTCCTTAACAACTTAGCAACTTTTTAAACGATAGAATCAGCATTTTTAAGTTCTATTAAGATATAACCTTTGTGGTTTCACTATGTTTGTCTGTCTAACTAATATCTGTCGCTAATAAAAAGTTGTAAATTAACATATACGTGTAAATCACGTCACGAAAACAAAGTGTAAACATACAATTTTGAAAAAAAAAATTAGGTTAAGTTTTCGACATGGAATGTCTGTAGTCGTATAACTTAATTATAACCAAGTTGAAAAGTAAACTAATCAATCGTACTGATATTATAAATGAAACTCTACTTGATGTTGCCAATTTAATGTAACATCACATAGCCTATAGGACAGTTGCACAAACTTCCATTAAAGTTTAATGACGCCTTTAAGCTCTAATGAATGTCAAATTTTTATGAGTAATGTCGCTTTAAACTAATGAAAATTCTAATGGTCGTTTGTGCAACTATATGTATAGCACGCGGACATCTAAGACGTTTCTAATAATACCTTATTTGTCTAGTTACGATGAGAAATTTCGAAGTTTCGACCAGATGAACATTCTTAGATACGTACATACCGGCCAAAATCATAACAAAAATCAAACAATCAAAATCTCAAGAAGTTCAATGCAGTGAACTCTTCGGCAAAAGCGACTAGCGGCTTTTATGCTCTTAAAGTTAACCATTATCTTCAAACCGACTTATACTTAAAAAGGGAAACGTACATAACCCACTTAAAATTATTTAATTAAATTTTCTGATCGCGTAAACAAGTAAGTAAATATAACCATTGAACATTAGCTCAATGAATATAACACGGACAACTACGGAGCCCTACACTGCACATGATCCAAAACGCACTTGGCCTGGTTTTACGTTATAGCGTTATCGGAAATGAATGACTAACCCGAAAATATAACTGATCGTATTATATTATATTGACTCACTCAATCAAGACTTTTAGCCCATATTTTTATCTAGAAAAGTACTAACAAACCGACGTAGTACTTTCGAGAAAGATGACGGCATCCCAAATAATATAAACATTTCCCGAATAAATAGTTCCCGATGAGTAAGAAATATAATTTAATAAGTGCAGGGATCAAGAGCAAACTATGTATCGCCTAAAGGTGATAGATTGCAAACATCTTTGATTGTACGCCACGAAATCAACCCGTAGAGGTCACCCGCACTCTGCATGTGGATGCTATAGACTAATGTAAATGAATCATAACTATTGCATCTAAGATATTTTGGTAATACATAACTTTATTAGATAACTAGCTTTTGCCTACGACTTCGTCCGCGTGGTGAAGTTACTTTGAGCAGCATTTCTAACAAATATTTATTCATTATATCGTGTAAAATACCCGAAATAAACTTTCATCCCCTATTTTATCCCCTTGGGGTTAGAATTGATCAAAATCCTTTCTTAGCGGATGCCTACGTTATAACATCTACCTGTAGGCCAAATTTCAGCCCGATCCGTCCAGGGGTTTGGGCTGTGCATTGATAGATCACTATGTTAGTCAGTCACCTTTGAGTTATATAGTATTTAGATAAAGAATTAATTCATCGGAATTAATGTTGTTTTAAGATTTAATAATTCAATATTGTTAAAAAAAAAATGTCATGGTTGAATCACTTCGGAAAATATCGATCAACTATATAAACTAAAGGAATCTTTGAAAATAATCGCTTTTAATTTTGATTTTTTGTAATCATATTTTCTTTTTCAACAAAGCTTTTATTCTTTTTCCTGGTCTAAATATGTGAACCTAGGCAGCAAAGGCAATGACCGGCCTACTGACCGAGTGGCAGGTGCCAAGCACGACTAGCGGCAACTAGCCAATGGTGTAATTTAATTTAAGCATCATCTACTTATTATATAAGACGATTTTTACCAGTTTGACCTCGTCTTCCCCACATACAAAAAGAATTAGCCGACCTCACCTTACTGTGTCAAAATTATTGCAAAAATATAGATAGTTTTTTTTAATGAACGTATTTTTTGTGTATAATATTAATTTGTGGATCTTTGTATTTTTTTACATTATTTGGATTCGCGGGATTGTGAACGCATTTCAAAGTATAATTTTAATTTGAGGATATTTGTGATCCTACGCAAGAGGTGTTAAATCATCTTGGATAGCGCGTTAACACATTCAAAATGGTCAGTGGTAACTTAATTCATAAAAAGTAACTAAAACCTTCGACTTTTAGAAACTTTAACAATCACTTGTAAACAATGGATATGTTTATTGGTGTTACGAGGGTCAAACTGAAAGTTCTTAGAACTGGCCACTTATAAACAATATAATAAAAAAATAATTCTAAAATTTGAAAATATAACTCTTTGCCAATATTACTGAGTATATATTTCATTCATTTGTCATTTGTTTTACGATTTGGCGGCAAATTGAAAATTGTCTGTGTCACGTCATCATGAATTTAACACGAGAAAATTTTCGTGCAATGATTTTTTATGACTTTCGATGTCATTTAAGTCAACAAGAAAGTTATGATAGACTACGATTGACCTTTCACGATGAAGCCCCATCTCGTGCGACTGTTTACAACTGGTTTAATGAGTTTAAACGTGGTCGCACTAATCTCACTGATGATTTACGTGAGGGACGGCCTTCTACGGCGACGACTGAAGATAACATCTGTGTTGTGCGGCGTATAATAGAGACTGACAAAAGAGTGACCTATCAACAGATTCGGACAAGCTTAGGCATCGGTATGAGTCAAGTGCACAAAATCCTCCACGAACATTTAGCGGTCAGGAAGCTTTGCGCCCGGTGGATACCTCATAATTTGACTGAGGCTCAAAAACTCCATCGTGTGGATTGGTGTCGTAAAATGATTGAAAGATTTAACGGAGGTGACTCAAATGCTGTGTTCGACATACTAACAGGTGACGAAAGCTGGATTTACTGTTATGATCCTAAAACCAAAAGACAATCTGCTCAGTGGGTGTTTCCTTTCGAGGAGTTGCCAACTAAAGTGAAGAGAGATCGAAGTGCGGGAAAAAAAATGGTGGCCTCGTTCTTTGGAAGGATAGGTCATTTTGCAACAATTGTGTTAGAGGATCAAAAAACAGTTTCTGCAGAATGGTACACTACCAATTGTTTGCCACTTGTCTTGGAAAAAGTTCGAGAGAAACGACCTCGCAGTAGGATCCTCCTTCACCACGACAACGCCTCGTCGCACACCGCCAAGCGAACGATCGACTATTTGGCGACATCAAACGTTGAATTACTGGGTCACCCGCCGTATAGCCCCGACCTCGCGCCTTGTGATTTTTATTTATTTCCAAAAATTAAAGAAAAACTTAAAGGAAAGCGGTTTATGAATGCTGAAGAAGCGGTGGCTGCGTATCGCGATGCCATTGAAGAGACCCCTAAGGACGAGTGGGCAAAGTGCTTTTCCCAGTGGTTCCATCGCATGCAGCGGTGTATTGACGTGAATGGACAATATTTTGAAAAGATATAATAAAACTAATAACTGGCTAATGTAATCAGTTTTTGATTTTCTAAGAACTTTCAGTTTGACCCTCGTATTATACAACTACATAATGTGATTGATATTGCTCCTAGACTTTTGTAAGAAAATGCATATAAACGTGAAGAGAACATGAGACGAAATCACCAAGACAGATTGGCGTGTTGCGCGAAATGAAGTGTGAAATTTATTTTTTAATTTATTGCTCGACAAAATCGGGACCCAGATTATCGTGTCGTATTTTAATGAAGAACATTTTATAAATCCAACATCAACAGGCGCGAACAACGCGAACACGTTTAAAAACCTTTAAACATTCACTATTTTATTCTTTGCACTATATATTTTTTCATCATTCATTCATTTTCCAGACCCGATTAGGTGAACTCGGAATCCCACGAGATTTGCGGGACCACTAAATACGCTTGAATGCATTATGAGAAGAGGTCAATGAATCCGGGAGTGAATGAAGAATCCAATGATAACATAAAAATCTATGAAAG